AAATGAGTTATTCTTTTTCGTTTTTGCAATCCTTGATAATTTTACCAGCTTACTAAAGCACTGCTGGATCATTACTGGGCCCGGATAAAGCAATTGTTCTGTTCGTGTAGTAAATTTGGTCCTTTTTCGTGGAAGATGTACTAATGAGATTATTACTCAATTTATGTGGCTTGTGGGGCTTCAAGGAGGGCCTTCTTCTTTTTTTACACTGATGAGCTGGGGGGTCTTTTGATCGAGACATACGAAGATATTCATTTTTTTCGAAATAATGTACAATAATACCCAGATGATCATCAAACATAACTTTTTGAATACCGTATAAACGTTGTCTAAAAGTGATGAAGATGACTATCCCTTGCTGTCGCAAGAGGTTGTCAATGAAATCAAATATTCACAGCCTTGCTTTTTACATTTCTTCTTCTGTTAATTGATGCATCCTTGAAAACGTCGTTATTCCTGGACCAAACATCAAACCTTCCAAGAAGAATGATTCCCATCCGGTATTACTTTCATTCTCTTCTTAACTGTGTCACAATTTTCATTTCTCACGATCTTCAGATTCTATTTTAAGTTTCCTGCCTATTCGTATAAAGATAAAAGCTACTTGCCTTCAAAGCAGTCACTTTTCTTGCATACGCTGGTTTCGCGTAGTATCTTCTGCGAGCGACTATCGGAGTCCCTCCCCGTCGGTAAGTGACTAGTCGTTCTTTCGAAGCATCTCCACCGAAAACGATCCTCTGTCATTGGGAAAATAAAAATTTTCTGCATTTTAAAATGATCAATACAATGACTTGAAATCGATAGAAAATGTCCTAATGCTTAGTATGACAATTGAAATCAAAAGAAACTTACGAAAACGCCAGCTTCGTCGGCGTTACTGTCGCGTAATTCTGACCGAGACCCTGGCTTGAATGAGCTCAGAAATTCATCCGCAGATCTTGTGTAACCGCCGAAAGCAGATGAAATCATCATGGAAGTCGTTGCCAAAGCAACCAGAGATATCTAGAGATTTTAAAATATATATATTTTTTTTTACAATCGATCTCAGAGGGATAAATAAAACGTGGAACTCACCAGATATTTTCCCATGGCGCTGATGAAAACAAATTGAAGAGGAATACAAACTCGATCTGCGAATATAGAAGGATTTAGAAGATATAGATACATTTACAAGGATTTTAAAATTTCGGGAGTCTCTCAGCAAAACCTCTCAGATGATTCTTAAAGACCGAATGTGCCCCATTCAAAATTTTGAATGAAATTGTGCATAAACTTTTTAGCGTGGTAAAAGCTTTTACTTGAAGAGCTGCTGTGCTTATCCAGACAGGAATGAAAAAATAATTGGAAAAAATTGACCAAACTGCTGGTGAGTCATTTCACCTTTTGTTTACATAATGTTTTCTTAATTCCAATTGGTCATTAAAATTTTCAAGCGAAAAAAAGAGGAAATATGCAGCAGAAACTTCCCTGGCCTCTAGAATTTTAATTCTTCTCTAAAACAGCCCATCAAATGAGTACTGTATATGAAATCTTTTTTTAATTTTCAGGCAACTTTGGGTCATAAGCTGTAAGAATTCAGAAGTTTTACATGGCTAACTATTTTCAAGTTCTTCAAAACTTTGGGCAATGCTCTTTACGCCGATCATAGGAGTTATTGGCAGGAATTTTTTGCTGGTTTTTCTTTCAATAAAATGGTCATATACTCGTACGTACGTACATGCACTTCAAAGCATCAAAAGGGAATGGTTACTAGAAGATAATCTGATAAACATTGTTTTGTCTTGCATAACAATGATTTTTTCAACGCCTCCGAGGGTATTTAAACTTCAGTAATTGAATGTTTTGTCCACCCCAAGCATCTTTTAAAATCTGTATTCCTTCCGAACTTTCTCTTATTTGCTTAGATGTTTTTGGGATTTAATAGCAATATTTAATCCCACGCGCACTGTTGAGAATTGAAGATTTATTTTTCTATGGACACCAAACTCGAAATTTTTTCACATTTTTGTCGGGATTCGGGTCGTCACTTATCCCGTAAGATCCTCGTTGTTGTAGTGAGCTACATCCGAAGTGTCCTCATGAATTTTATACGTCGACCTCACCTCAGTTGTTTTGTTATTTTATTTTTACCCTCGTTGTCTGTGATCGACTGGACCTGTAAACGAGGTACGCCCTAATCGTCACGCCGTCTGGTAGAGTGGAAGACCCAAAAAAAAAGCTGGTTGCTTACTTCTCCCGAATCCGGATAATTGGAGGAAACGACGTCAAAATGAGAGGCATAACCAGTGCTGTGCTGTTCCGCGACTTCCAACCAATTTATGTTTGATCCTATACAATAGACTATATTTACCATATTTACTCGAGTACCACGCGCCCTCAAGTAAGGCCCGCACAGGGTTTTTTCAGTTGGAAATTTGGCTAAAATCTTATCCCCGAGTATGACTCGCACCCCCAATTTTTAGCAAATCTAAAACCACAAAATTTTAAAATAGAAACAAAATGTTTGACTTTGGACATGAATTTAACAAAAATCTGACCAATTTTCAATTTTTCCAGTACAAAAAAATTGTCTTGTCACTTTCATTCCAAATTTCTCCATTATGATCAAGTATAATGCACATAGAACTTTCTAAAACTTCTTGAAAAATTTGTACCCGCTTATGACGCGCATCCCTTTTTTTCTTCTGAAATTCGAGAAAAAAGGTGCGCGTGATACTTGAGTAAATACGGTACTCTATAGTACCACACACCCTGCTGGAGTAAGACACCCCCCCCCCCCCTGATTTTTCACCAATTTTTTTTATTACATCTTATCCCGAAGCAACATACACACACGTACGTCCCAATTTTGATGACTATAAAGCTTTGATACTGTATTCACACAAAAAAAAGGCACCAGAATGCAAATTGGAAAACAAATTCGACCTGAATGCAATAATGTTTTCAATTGATTTGATCTTTTAAAAGTTCCTGTCGAAATTTTCCAATTATATTCAAGTGTGACGCAAACCCCTCATTTTCCTCTCAATTTTGAGAAAGAAACGGTGTGTGTGGTCACTTGAGTAAATTCGGTAAATACGGGGGATCGTTAATGACTTAGTATATTTTTTTCTTGTTAATTAGAAATGACCCCGTCGGAGGCATTCGGTCAGTTGAGGTCAAAAAGATACAGTGTTGAAAACTTTTGTCTTTGAGTACGCAAATAGTCTCTATGTGTAAAAGGGAGCTTTTTCATACTGCGATATAGAAACCCGCCTAAAGTGCATTTTGAGGTCACAATTTTTTTTTTGCAATATCTTACAACAAAGTTATTGCACAATAAGTTATTTTTCGGTCGCAGATTGTATATATATACTGTACTGTAGTGAGGTCACCAATTTTTGACTGAATTAAAGTTTAGTGCGTTGAAACACTAGAAATCGGTCGAATTTCCGAAATATTTTGCATCAGACTTCAAGCTGCAATATAAGTGGTCCATTATTTAAATGCATAAAAGGTTCGTTAGAAAATAAAATTGGGCTATTTCAAGTGAGAACATGAAAGTCAAACAACCCGAAAAGTTGGAGTAGTTTTCAGATGATGGGCTGAACATGCCTATAGCTAATTCAATGAAATGCTTTGATTATATGCTGAGATGCAGATGTAATTACTGTTCAGTAATACAAAGATCCCACTCTCCATGTGGATTATTTCAGGATTACCCATGAAAGCACAGTAAAGGATGTGAAGGTCCGAAGTTAGATCACAATATCGTGCTGTTTTGCTCCTTATTATAAAATCATTCGCACGGTATTCAAGTAAATGAGGTATTCATGGCCATAACTTCTCAGCTCAGGTCTGTAAATAATTGAGAAAATTTGATCGAAGCTGTGCTGGGGTGTTTTGGCGCATAGCAGACCAGGTCCAGGATCCCCATCAACTTACTGCGTTGAAATGATCACCTGCAGTGGAATACGGGATGCGTCCGTGTAGACGCTGACCCCGACTTGTCGGGAACTACAAGTTCCATTAGGATCCGGATGACTTCCGAAGGCCAGGAAGTGGAATCGAGGAAAGAGCTCTTCCCAATTGCGACCGATGCTATTTGGTTCAATGAGGATATTAGATGACAATAACCGCTTCTGCGTGTAATGCAGGGGCGGTCAAATTTTTAATGAAGGTAGAAAAAAAAATGCTGATATTGTCTGCTGTTCAACTATTTTCCATGAAGGGTAATTGAGATTTAAATTGGAATTTCAATTACCCGGGCTGGCGGAAGAGAGGACGATTTAATATATCATATAATTCGAAAAAAAAGGCAATTGCTGGAAAATTAGCAGAGGAAATTTTCCCAATATACAGAATCTTAACATAACTCAAAGCATTTCTCTGACGTCCTAAAATGAACGTTTGTTCCAAAAGCTCGTTTTTTGCAGTGTTTTTCTTCTCATGAGATCACTTGCGTCTGCGTGTATTTTTCTTTTATCCGTCATGAATTTCTTGATAAAATTCAAGTCAAGCCAGGGCAACAAAGTATCTGAAATTCAATCGAAGCATTTTTAACCCAATCAATTTGAGACGTGTTCACAGTTCATCGACTGAATGTGTATTTTTTTAATCCTAATTGTTGTTTGACTGCATTTTTGAACCGCGCTTGAAAAAAACATGTATTTTACAACGGACGTGCATACATTAAAATTCAGAAGAGAATGCTGCAAAAGACATCGTGAATTTTTTAAATTGTACGTATCCGCTGATCTTTGAATAATTGCGAAAAAAAATACGACGGTTTCACCGCGTGCTCTGATCCCAAGAAAAGCTGATTTTCGTTTCAATTAAACTGTACAATATATTTGTTAGAAAATGGAAATTGTTTTGAAAACAGTGTTCTAAAATTGGTTCGCCTTAGTTTTCTGGACATTGATTATTATTGCATAAAATTATCTGCTTGTTTTTACCCAATAATAACGGCGAAGGGAAAACGAGTTTTCAAAATTACACCCCGAAACTCGTAACATGTTATGACACTGCTCCGTGAGAAATTGTCGTCATCGACGCGTGATTATTATTACGCGGGTTTCGATCGGATTCCAACGACCCTAATTACCAACAAGAGGTCGAGTCTGGTGGTTTTCCAACCAGGGCCGCAGTGGGTTCACGTTCGTCAAGGAAAATCGTGCTTTTCAACGAATAATTTGTGACCATGCTTTAAAGAAAACCCAATCAAAATATATTCCAGCATAGAAAATCTAGCATGACCTGTTATTGGACCTTCAAAATTTTCTTATCTCGATTTATTTTTCTCTTGAGATTGGAGATCTTCAGAGAAAATTATAAAAACTGAGACTATGTGCGTGCTTGAGATATATAATGTCATGTTTTTCAAAGAAATAAAATACGGCCTGTTTTATTTCCAGTTTTTGTCAGGTACATTTTGTCGCTCTTTCCCACTTTTACACAGTCAAAAACAGTGGAATTTAGAATACAGTATGCGTACTTGGATTATAAGTTTAATTGCAATTGTTTTGCTAATTTTTTTATCTAATTAATTTTAATTTTTTTTTTACCCTGGAATTCCTGACAAATTTTTATTGCGATTGATCACTTGGTTTGACTTGATACGGTTGGGAGGTGTTCGGTTAAATTGAATTGTATTGAGATTGGATCAATTGACTTGAGCAAATTTGAACTAGTTCTTCGCCATTTATGTCCCTCGTCAGAATCTTCTTTCTTTCTTCCCTTTCAGCATAAATGAAAGAGATCCTTGTCGAGAGGGTGTTTTGATTCTTCTGGGTGTCGGATAGTTCCTTTGGGCCGACCTCACGTAGACTCGTCTGGTACTTGCTAGACGAGGCCAAGTTTTGTGATGCGATCGCGTCAATCATGAATTCATGGCATCAGCAAAAAAAAATAATAATCACTTGATAAAAAAATATAAATAAAGATTGGAGCACGTTCGACGCGTGGCCTGGAAACAACTTAGTAGCGAAAACTCGATAACCGTGAAAGGCAACGCTGGAAATAATTGATCCAAAATCATAAATTGTTTTTTAAACTAATTTTGCAGTAAAATATTATTCACAGACTCCGTTTTCACACAGCATTTTGAATTCAGCCCATACTTTGATCCAGGAATCGGAAGGTTCCCAAATATTGTCGAGATTCGCACAAATGCAAATTAATTCTTCGGTCACGTGACATCTATAGAAATAGAAAATTTTGTAAAGATTATCGGGCAACATTTTTTTTCAACTAAATTTCATAGTAAAAAAAAAAATTAGATCATATTGATGACGAAATTATTGTTCGTATTTTTTGAATATAGAGCGACGGCAAAAACCCTCCAAATTCGTGCTGCAGTCAATGACGTGACGGATCCGGAAGACGGAAATCAATTGGGAATCGAGGCGATCAAAGTTCATCCGGGATTCAGACAAGGTATAATAGGCTTTATGCTATATTTGTTTAATCTGAACTGAAATTCAAAGATTTTTCAAGAGGAATTATCAAAGTGGCAGGCTGTCGATTGCGTACTCGATGATTATATTTGTCTGCTTGCATGAATATTCTTTTTCGGGAAAATGTTCGCGTCTTCTAATTAACATTGTATTTTCCTGATTGTCCTCGGACTCGAAATTTGATGGAAATGACAGATTCCTTTCGTTTTTTTAAAGGCCTTGAGGAACTAGGACAGGAAATCTACGTTCTGCAGCTGCAGACACGACAGTTTTTTCTTGTACTTTGTTATCTCGGCTTTCAAATTTTACAAAAATTGGTTAAAAGATCATTATAAAACATAAATACTGTATATTTGAACTGGAAATTATCAATTGGGTTCTCATGGGCTCTTTGTAACCCACTCTGAGAATATATCAGGCAATGTACAATAAAATGGAATAAAATCAAACCAAATATAATTACTGTAACTGACACTCGCTACGTTGTCTGTTTTTTTTTAGGCGGGGGGTACTTTTAATCGAGTACAGACGATATACTTCTCGCCCGTGTCTTTAAACCATTTAATTTTTTAAGCATGTTGAATCAAGTATAGAAACTCGAAACACCGCCGGAAAAGTTCTACAATGCTCGGTCGCGAAATTCTATTCCGAACCGGGCTCAATTAATCAATGAGTAAAAACGTTCGAAAACTTTTAATCTCAACACGAACATATTTTCCACGTGTGTATTCTTGTGACTTATTGTGAAATACACAAACCTGGGACAACTCTTACACAAAATCGCATAATACAAATGAACTGCGCAACTTTCTTTCTATAGCAGGCTTTTTAAACTACTGTACTTCGCATGCTTTGCCTACGCAACAAGAACCACAGACACTTAGATAGTATTCAAAAGATCATTTTATGACCTTAATTTGATTTCTATTTCACTGTGATTGGTCAAAATTCTTAGGAAATATCATCTTTAAAGTTCAGGCTAATCTACATTCCTCCATCTAAACTCTATTTTTCTGCAAATCTTTTCTTCATGTTAGAAGAACTTCAACAAATGTAGTCTGCCCATTCTGCAATTTATTAAAGATACTGTACATTTCTAAAATAACCGGAATCGATTATTCAGACGGACTTGTACGGTTTTATTTGAGAGGAAAGAAAATTCAGAGCAAGCAGTACACCTTGCAAGTACTAGTTTTCAAAGTGTTTTAAAAAATAGACAAAATTGAGATGACAGGGAATTAATTTAGTACTTATAAGTCAGTAATAAAAATAGGATTCTCTGAGGACAAGTAAAAATGAGAAAAATGAATTCAACACAGCAATTGGCCAGTGCGCAAACCAACCAGGGATTCTCTCCCAAAAAAGCGCAAGCCCTTTGTTAAACAGATCAGCAAACAAGATCACAAGGTACAGAAATATTCACAACAGTTTTTCAGACCGCAAATATGCACAACAGGTTTTTTGCATAAATTAGCTAGTACGAATTTCACGACGTAACAAACGCTTCAACGGCAAGAATTTGACTGTGTCTTGGGCCAAAAAATCAGGGGTTTTTAAGCAAGAAAAGGGGGGGCAGGGGAACATGGTACCTGCAGGGTATCCCAGCAGCTGGGTGTGAAGCACAGAAAAACACCAGGTGTTGGTGTTTTTCAAGACGAGAAATTTGAGGCACTTGGCAAGTAAATTTTCTCCCAAAAACTGGGTATTTTTCAACTTCAGTAAATTTTACAAGGCTGCGCATGTTTTTATGGATGAAGACAAATTGTTTAAGTGACAAGGGGGACATGGTTTTTTGACAGCGGTTGACGTGGAACACGATAATAAAGATAGTAAGTATCCGGATACAGGCAGGTACGACTGGGGGCCAGCAGCTGGCAAAGTTTGGACGCCCTTTTGGGATATTCAATCTTCTTGAAAGTGGGGAATGAGGGGTCATTTGACTCTCAGTTGAAGTCGTTTTCCCAGAGATGGGCTTGTGTTTTGATATTCTTGACAGTTTGTCGAGTTTACAATAATTTGTCTTTTGGGGCCCCTGTCAAGGGTTTTTTTCTAATGACTACAGGCGCGTCCCGAGACGCGCCAACGCTGATTTTTAGTCACTGCTTATTTTACAGAAAAAATTCCGTACAGGACTATTTCTACAGTGATCTAGTCTACAGCGACATTCTCTGTATAGCGAAATTTTTTTGGTTCCCAAGGGTTCTCTCCCCAAGTTAAATGAGTTCTCCGCAACGAATTTATTTCTGTTCCCTCGAATTTCGATAAATAGAGCGACCCTCATTCCAATCACATTATGAGAAAGCGTGTGAAAACTTCTAAATTTTAGGTTATTTCTGTGTTTCTTCAAATTTCGAAACATAAGAAGTAGACATCTATCGAAACAGAATAGGATCCAATTCAATTGCACGTACGAATTTTTAACATGTTAGGTAGCAGCACTACGTACAGAGATGCATTGCTTTTATAAAGTCAGTTTGCCTGTTTCATGGTCACCCCTGTATATTTCGATATTTTTATCTTATGCTATATAGTTTATAGAAACAATTTTGTGCGATGAAATGTTTGAGGAATTATTTTACAAAATACGCATTTTCGTAACTGTACAAAAGAAACCATGAATTTATCGTCAGCTTCCCGAACATAAATTTCATTTCGACTGCGCAACCATCGTCACGTAAAAAGCCTCGTGTTGTGAAAACTCAGTTGTAAACCACGGTTGTCTTACAATATATATATAAACGAGTCTTATGTACCCCTGTTTGAAACGGGGCAGCGGTTTCTCTTCCGCCCTCTCGCATCGCTTCCTTCGCGGAACCCAACGTTTTCCTCATGTCCTTTTCATTGCTGAGAAGAATGCTATTTATTTTCTGTTCTTGGCTGCAGTGTGGAATGCGTACTGGAATGACATTGCAATCGTGAGGCTGGTGAGTGAGTTGGATCTCTCGGGTTTGAGTGTCAAAGCCGTTTGTCCGCCGGTCCAGCAACACTCTGGTTGGCTGCATAGACGCATTGGTGAACGTGGCATGGTGGCCTCTTGGGGCTCCACGAAATTCCGTAAGTTTCCTCTATACATAGTCTTGAGTTTGTTTCAGTTTAAGAAAAAGCAAAGAAAAAAATACAAGAAGATTTACAAAAGAAGACCAATCACATCTGTAGGATACATGAGATGCAGCTGTGATAATGAGTGACTGATTGATTGATCAATAAGCTTTATTCTTCTGCGTTTCAGCATTCACAAGGCTCAAACAATGTTTCCCACATCCAAAGCCCCTCCCTTTGCCACCTACTTCCATTCAAATACAGTCAACCCCTGTCTAATGGACTTGATTTGTGCAAGGGACAAGTCTGTTGGACAAAAAGTCCTTTACATGAATTCAATTACATAAAAAATTTAAAATTTCAATTTTCAACACTAATTTTAAACCAAAAGAAGTCTGTTTGATGGATTTTGTCTGTTGAGCAGGAGGAAAAACTGCTTGCAGAGCTGGTCTGTTCAGCAAAAATCCCTTACACTGGAGGTCTGTTAGGCGGGGGGCCACTGCACATTCCATCATATCAGGATGGAAAATAGCGGGAAACAAGCTATATATGGGCATTAAAAGAAGAAGAAAATACATTGCAGAACATAAAAATGCACAAATGATATGCATGCACCCCCCCCCCTCTTTTTCAAATGAAAAAGAAAATACTGCATTAAGTGACTGAACAAATTGGAGAGGATATTTGAGGATAAATTGTATAAAGCAACTGTTTATCTTGTTAATGAATGATCAAACAGAGATTAATCTTTAACCCTCAGGCACAGGAACAATTTATAATACAGAATGATTTAGTGAATCTTATTCTGATTTTTGGTACCCTTATACAGTACAAGCATACGAGTGTATATAGTATTTTCGAGAGGATGAACTCCCAAGTACGGTATTTTCTGGTAAAATCATGTACAGTACTGTAATTCAAATGTTACTTGATTGGCTGACACGAAAGAAACGAAGATGACCCTTTTCCTAGTGCTTGAGGGAGGAGAGGTTGTTAGATCATTTATTGTTTTTTTTTCTCTGGAATTATAGGGTCTCTGGAATTATAGGAATTATAGGATCAATAGAGTCTAAATTTCCGAAAGTAAACCGTGATTACCCAAAACATTTGTTTGATCCCTTGTCTAATGGTTTTTTTTTAATATTAAATGAATGTACATTTTCCAAACAACATGTTGACTTTTTCTTCAATTATTTTTCAGAGGGTCCAACTGTCGACAAACTACGTTACGGAGAATTTCAAGCTGTGCCAACGATTGTTTGTCAAGCCTACGCATTGGCAACGTATTTCCGCCCGTTGCCATCTGCGCAGATTTTGTGCGCACATGGAGATGGAGGGGTTGTTAGAGCTTTATGCACCGTGAGTCGAACGAGTCTCATTACAGCTGTATAAAATTTGCAATTATTCGATCATGCGAACCTTCGCCCAGATAATTCGACATCGAAAATAATCAAAATCGGTGCGAAAATTACTCGAAAATAAAATTCAAGAGTCGGCAAAACTTAACCTACATAAAATCGACATTACTTGAATGAATGAACAGAACACTTTTTTGCCGCTTTTCAGTGTTCACAAGGTTCAATCAAGATTTCCACAACCAAACCTCTTCCCCACCCAACCCAAATCCACTCAATGACATATAATCACTTCAGAGCAGGAAACAGAGCATAAATTGATCAATAAAAATAAAAGAAAATACAATACAAAATAAAAAACATTACTTAAATTCAAAATTCGCCATTGCTCTGTTTCCAGAAAATTTTCCGATATTCTTAGAGAATAACATATTTCCCCGTATATGTTATTAAGGGGATGGAATTTATATTCGATTTATAACGACTTTAATGATACCGTTGCGTGCTTGTCTTCTTCACATGAGTTTATATGTTTTCAATTTTCGCTTTTTTGAAGGCTTCTCGAAATTGGTGCTTATCGGGCTGATTTTAATGCACATTATTTTCACATGAAATCGTAGTAGATCTGACAGAAAAAAATCGACTCAGTTGAAATTATACCTACTTATCAAGTCTGGGTATTTTTTTTTTCTTTCCGATTTATTCCAAGTGGGTTTTAAAAATAAGCGCATATCGATCATCTTTCTGACATCGTGATTCATGATCTGTTTGATTAACGCGTACCTGATTGATGAATGGACGCTCAGACATCTGACTCTAAATTTTTTTTTTTCAAGTTTGGACACTTTGCCGAGTCGATTGTCAGGTTTTAATCTTTTAGGAGATGATTAGTTAGTCAAAAAAGCTGCATTAGAAAGTCGTTGGACTTTTTCATTCGCGTGAACATATTCCCAGCAACATTGAGTCATGACAAAATCTCACGTGTCCTTCAAAACATTTCGAATCATCTCTGCTGCTGTGGAAGTGTAAAAAAGCCTTGGCCTCTTATTGATCGTCGCCTTATGTTTACCATTAATTGATCGACAAAGCGACATTCCGACACTGTGTTGTCGTCAAGCCTCTCAGCAGGTGTCGGAGACGCGTATCCCCCGTCCAGTTCCTTACACATAGCGACTGTGAAATCCGCGGTGTCGGGAATGAATAAGTGAGTCCTAATGAGCGTAATGACTTTCGGAAACCGGTGTCGTTGTCTGCAGGGTGACAGCGGGGCGCCATACGTCGTCCTCGACCACGACACGGGCCTCGCCATGCTGGTCGGGATTGCCACAGTGCCGCCGAATGAGGACTGCCTCGAGTACCAGGTCACGTTGTTCACAAGGGTCGACAATTACTTGGACTGGATAGAGAAATCAATCACTGCCATCCGCTGGTTTTAGAGTTGACTATACAACGCTTGCAGCGCGGGGAGAGGAAACAGTTCAATGCCAGCAACGGAGTTTCAACATTTGGATTTTACTCGAAAAACTTGGAATATAATTCGAAAACTTTTATTCTCGAACCTGCGACAGAAAATTAGATCAAGAAAGTTCGTATTGTCTTGCTGTGAGCCAGGGAAATGACGAGTTGTGTGTCAACGATGATGACGAGTGGAAAGTTAAAATAATTCATTTTCAAAGAATGCGCTGTATTTGACTATTTTCCAGACATGATCCATATCTCATTAATAGTCTACTACGGTGGTCTACAAGCTGCGGTTCACGGACCATAGGATGTATGATAAATTCATCAAAGTTACAGTAATTAAGTGTGTTATCTTTATCTGAAATTTTGGAAAGGCTAATGGCAGTTGAAATTATCTGATGAAAAAATAAAAGTAGGTTTTTCTCCTAATAACACTTCAGACTAATGTTCACCTCCCGAATAAATTACTTTAAACATAAATTCTGAGAATCCTTTCTTGAAGCCAAGCTTTCTAATTATTTTAAGACATGCCACTATAAGCTGCTTCATTGTTGTTTCTTATAAGTTGAGTTTTCTGATGAAATTTTGGTTTGGATGGCAGGTATTAAAAATTTTCTTATGCTCTAAAAATTATATGGGACTATGCTGGTACACAGAAAATTAATGGAAATTTGCCAGTCTGCAAAAATTGTACGGAAATTTGCCAGCCCACTGGTCCAAAAATGTTGGGGAAAACTGGATTAATCAGACAATCTAACCAAACCAACGTATCTGAAACATTTGTATAAAAGTCAAGCCTTTCTGAGTTGAATTTCGAAGTACCATCCCAGAAAAGCTGAAAATTTGACTCTGGGAGGTTTTGAATTGTAGTAAGGCTTGAGCTAAAAAAAACAAAGCCCTTTTTTCTGGGAAACTTAGAAGAAATGCCCAAAATTGTAAATAGTGTTATTCTGGGGCTTAAATTGCTTCTTAAATCAGTTGAAAGGATTCTGAACTTAGAGGCAGGGGTTCATTTGCACAATAAAGTTTTTCACTTCCTTTAAAAAATCATAAATATCTGTTTTTATTGCTTTTTTCTTTCTTGGCTCTAGAAACTAATTGTCAACAGACCACCGAAAATTTGAATTATGAAGGCTTGAGAAGAAAAGTCTTTGACTTAGGGAGATTTTTAATTAATTGTTCCTACGGGGATCCAGACTGGGACCTGAAAAAACGTTGACTTAGAGAGGTTTGAGATGCTGCTTTGACGTTCAACTGTACTGTTTGAATTGTGGTTAAAAATCAGAAATCTCTTTATTCCTTCACTTTGGAATGGTACTTTGCAACTGAGCTCGCCAATTAATTTTTTTCCCTTATTCATGATTCATGGAATCAAACTTGGGTGGGTTCAAATTAAAAAGATTGTCAAGATATGAAATGATCCGGACAGTACTTTCTAATGATCTGAGAGCAAAAAATATGCCTCATAAATGAACCACTGCCAAAAACAGTTATCAGAAATCTACGCCCTTTGCATTGAAACACTAATATAATCGCGATTCAAGTCGTTCTAGAAATGACGTCACGACATTAAAACCTCTGCCAGCTTGACCAACTCCAACTGAAGCTAGAACTTGATGACAGCGGTCAATGCGCTTAGTTCTCTATTTTCTAGATGTCGCTGCTCCATCAGTTCAGGGTGCCCGTTCGTTTGTACATTTCAATGGCGAGTGGGATTTTTTTTTTCAAACCGATCGACTTCATCAATGAGTTGCATAATGCCCCTTTATAACACATCCTCAATTGTACAAACGTCACAGTTTTCATGTCCTCAAAACTCGATACAATCAATCCAAATATATACTCCTGCTTCCGCGATTCCACGCAAGGCAACCCACGACTGAAAACACTTGGGTCTCGGAACAATCCGCTGAAATACCGTAGCTATGAAAAGCTTTACATTTCTGAAATTATAGTCAAATACTTCGTCACTGCAGTTTCAAACCACCAAATATCGCGCAGAAATTGAAGTCTCATTTCGGGAGCACTTTGTGTTCTGCTAGACTGCTTCGCTCCAGAACAGTTCTTCGTCATCTTCAGCAGCAATTTAGTTTAGAATTAATGTAATGAATAAATGGAAGACGAAATCCTTCAGAAAAAAACTGATCAGTCCCACTGAAACAAAACGTCGTGTTGTGATAATAAAGTGTTGAAAGAATTTACCAGAAAGTGGGAGGAAAATTACATCATACCCTAAACCCAAGAGGGTTTCGAGGGAATTTTCGTCGCAATCGGCTCAGCCAGTGCAGCGTATTCGAATCCGCCAGCGCTCGCAGGCGGGGCCATTTTCTTCCACAGGTAAACAGCTGCTAAGCCGGAGATCAATCCGATCATCATGATGATCATTGCAATTGTCATTTCCACGCTCGTCGCGGAGACCCAGCTTTTCAAGGGCCGGGTGTAGCCCAGGGGAATGGCTGTTTTGCTTGTCCATGCATGCAGCAGGTTCACGTCTGAGAAGTCCTGCTGACACCTATATACAGTACACATATATATGAAAGAGCGATTCTCTTGAAAGCTTTTCATTAATAAACGATAGAACTGCTCATACCCTGCTTGTAAATTGAACGTGCTAAATTTATTCCTGAATAAAAAAATATACATACAGTAAAATCGACCTGACTTACGAGAGTTACGACGGATTTAAAATGATTTCACTCATTCTTCCTGGTCCAACTAAACTCACTAATTTGCTCCCAATATTGAATGAACGGGAAATACGGAAATACCGCATCGTATTTATATAGTCATTTAATCTCCCAATAATAACCGGCAATAATTGCGTAAAATATATAAGTTAAAAGTTCTGTGAGCTAATACTGTACATCCGTTTTGTTGGCGACACGTCAATACAGTGCATCGAATCAATCTTTTTTCCAGGTATGCTCCGCTTTTCGGATTTTTTACGATTTGAAATATTCTTGCGCGAGCATTAGTCCAAAAATTTCCAGTGAACCCTGTTAATATTTGTCTTCTGACATCAGCCCAAGATAAAAATTTTGTGAGCTTGTTTAAAATGTGAAACTGCTGTGAAAGCTGCGATAAATCATTGAATCGATTATCGAAGTTCAAATTTAAACATTTTTAATGGTATCAAAAAGGGCAAACAATCATCTTAAAATTAAGGTCGATGCCTTCAAATCATTCGCTGACATCACCGCTGAGAAACCCCTCAATCACGCCTCATCCTTCAACTAAAGATTTATTCTTTGACGATTCTTCATAATCTTCATAGAAGATTCTGCCCAACAACTTTACTGTACAGTATAAGTGTCATGTCAGAAAAAATTTTGAATACGTCCGGTAATCGGTTTCCAAATGCTTACACTCACTCGTAGACAAATTGAACACTTCCTGATGATTAATGTCTGCTGGGCGCGCTGGAAAAATTCTTTGAATTACAGGAATGTAGAAGTGCCAATTTCTTTTAGCTTTCGTGAAGGCACCCAAACATTACCCTGCGGATAATTTTACTGCATACACGCAGCTTAATAAATTTGTTGAGTACTACTGAATAATTACTATTAATTTTCGGTCACGGGTTACAGTATTTCCATTGTATATCCGCGCGCGTAGATTTTTCTGACGTGGCCGCGCGGGGTTCCTTTGAGGAATACAGGGGTCCACTTCGGCTTAATTTTCATTAAATCCGTCGAAAATCAGATAATGTGAATCAGAATATTTGCCTGAAATAGAGTCGCAGAGAGAATTTCCCGGGCAGGAAATTCAGCAGGTCCTCGTCGTCCAGCTGCAGCGATGTGCTCAACACGCGTTCATTCGCCACCGGATGCGTCACGATCTCGAAATTCTTGTCTTGGCTACACGCAAAGGCTTCCGTGGCCAGGAATTCCCCGCTGAAGGCCGGGTCCGGCATCTCGCATTCTTCGCCGTCGTCACTGGTGTACACCCAGTGCACGGCCAGGTGTCGACTCATGTCGAAAGTCGGCACTTGCTTGCTCATTTCGTAGATCAGAAAGTCCATCCGGTTCCGGCGATCGTCGGAGAAGTACACGTACGAGGGATTGGCAACAGCTTCGAAGTAGAGACTGGAAATTTCCACGCAGTGGAACATGTCCGAAGCGGATTCCGGGCGCTGGAAAGCTGATGGGATCGGAACCCTGGCGAGCTCTTGATCTGCTACTTTCATACCTGTCAAGATAAAAGGGCAAAAAAGCGGAATATCAAGAAATATTCAGTATTTTACCACATGAAAGGTCAGGTATTTTCTCGTTCGATCATTTACGTTCTATCTATAATGACCTGCTCTTTTAAATACACGATGCGCTCAAAACATTGTAATTGTCCTCCAATCTTTTTTTATAAAACGTGCTGTTTCCTTGCAATGGCAGTATAATCATGCAGCATATTGTTAGCATTGACACGATCTGAAATATTCGCTACTGCCGATTTGTTTGGAAAAAAATATTCCGACGGACAGTCGGAAGAAAATGAATTCAAATTTAACGAGATATGCGCACAATTTAAACGCATGATTAAAGCAGAATATCAGCTTATATATAATAGATCAGCCTATCTATAAGCTGATAATCTGCTCTTCTACATACAGCAGAATACACTATAGAAATTGCAAATGTCCTTTCAATTTTTGAAAACTTCAACTGCGCAACAGCAATTAAATTTATGAATATCTTTTAATAATGACCAGCAGCTACTGTATCATATATATCGTTGAAATCGTCTTCGTCCCCATCTAATATATTCGTTACTGTTCCAGTCGTTATTTTTTTTAAATCATGGGCACAATTAAAACGTTGCTTACGAAGATGATCACGCCTCTTCCAAAAGCTTCTAGCAATAATTGGTCGTTTTACTCTTTTAAAGTTTCGAAATGAGACATTCGTTGTATTTTTTAAATGTAAATGAAGAGGGATTTGCTACTTTAGAACACAAAAAATCCAAAAGCAGCACAAAACACAATAATCCATCAACTACTCTATTATACCGACGAACCGTCATCAGCAGTATCTGTGTCTTCTTCTTCAACCGATTCTCCAGCTGCAGTGTCATCTCCATCAATGAAATGCACCAGATTGCTATCATCGACTAAATTTTTATCTTTGTCATTTTTGTCATTCCTGCCTGGATTCCGCCAATCTTCGTGACCATCAGCAGAATTGGTTCTCAGGAGTGGAGTAAGGCGAGCCAAAGGGTGTCCCTTGATTATGACCGGATCAGGATTATCGGATTTTTGGGCCTGATCAGCTGCGAAATCCCAGAAGTTTGGCGGCTGCTCGTCTTCACTTTCTTGCGATGAAGAGTCGGCATTTTCTGTAGCGAAGTACGCATAAATTTGTGGGACATTCCACTCTGACTCAGCGAATTCAATATTTATTGTCATGATTTACTGATGACTGCAATTCAGCACCGAATCAAAAATCTAAAATGTCGGACGGAAAAACTTTGGCGGTTAAAAAATTACTGTATCTCGAAATTCTCTATTATGAATATTGATGAATTTTCACATTTACCTCATCTAAATTCTATGAAGAGCACGAAAAACAAATTGTTTTCCCTGTATATATGAAGTCGTTTGTAAATGGTATAAGATCCGCAGCAGTACTTATAAATTATTTTCCCCTTTAGCCAAATTTGTGAAGCGCACAAGCAAACAGAAATAAGAATAACATTTTGAAACATTTTTTTTTGCGTGGATTTCGAAGAATAAACATACACTTTAAAATGAAAATATATCCGCGTATATAACATGCATATTCAATAAGACATGTGAATAAACCTTGGAGTCTAACATCCGTGATTCTTGATAAGACACAATGTTTCAATCTAAATAATATTTTTCTCAATATTTTGGCATCTTATTCAAAAATAATTTTGAATATAATTCCGATTATTCACGAATCCAAAATTTTGAAAAATCGAATCAAACTTTAGCATTAGTCCATTTTAAACTTTTCTGATTTTTGCTTGTTTTGGTTTAAAAAAGGTACTTTTTGGAAACATTATCAATCCAAAATATTCTCGCCAACCCTGTGAAAATTTATCTTTAGAGCTCGGTCAAAGTTGAAATGTCTCGTCTGTTGATTCATGTCTAAATGCAGAACTGCTATGAAACTTGCAATAAATAATCGAATCGATCGTCTCGAAGCTACATAAAAGTCTAAATTAGAAAATTAATATGGGCATATGTACTTAAATTAAGCGTTGGAATTTTCTCGTCGATTCACCGATGAGAATCACGCTTACTCCGTTACCTTATGATTTATTATTTTCTCTGCATAGAGTTGTGAACAATTGTGAAAGTTATATGAGTATTTTGTTAGAACATACAAAAATAAATTATTTTTGTCTGGTATCGGTTTTCAAATGCTGAGTGACTTATATGAGAGTGACTCGCTTTGAAAATGGTGCAATCCAATTTAATCTCCCTAATTATACGCATCTGCTCAATTTGAAAAATGAATTTTTTAAACTAACCTTCTACCGCAAGTTCAACTTCAGGCGATCGTGGCTCCTCTTCGCCAATATTTGACTCATCGCCAAGATTGAGTGCGACGACAATCGGCTCATCCAGGAAACCGGCTTCATCAGCAGCCACTGATACGGTAATGATCACCAAGAAAGTCGCGAAAAGGATTAACGTTCTTCGTATCATAATTAGAATCAATGAGACTATGCTCCAATCTCCACTACACGTTATGTAGCAACGATTTCGTCTGCAAAAGCGGAAGGGAAAAAAAACGGATTTTTCGATCCTTAACGCAGAGGCAACCGTTTCTGAAATCACTTCAGACAGACTGACTATGTACACTTCGAACGAGCAGCAGCAGAACGCAACGAATTCGCCACCAGCAAAGGTGGAAAAAAAGAGAGAGGGAACATTATTCGTTGTATTTTCTTTTCGTTTATCTACTCTTTGTTTTCTTTTTTTTTACTTCCGCGAATAATTTCGTGTTTTTTCCTTCCCTCGGCGACGACCAGCAAGGGGAGAAGATTTAACCCTGAAGTGAATTCGGCTTGTGGGGAGAAGTTTCGGTTTCTGCTGAATCGTCGCGTGAATAATCGCTTGATTCATTCGTTCACGCGGATCACGCCACATGAGAAACGTTATTATGGTGACAATATACTGTAAAGGGAAAAATCGTAGTGCACTGTTTTCATTTTTTGCATCCGCGCCAGGCCAGCAGATGTCTCCATCATATATATTTGCTCCACCAACATGAACGCGAGGCTCACGACACTTCGTCAGCGTCAAACATCCGTGTTACCATGCATGCAGTCATCATTCCATATGGCATGGTCTACTCATACCGAAGAGGATTTGAATTTTCCTTCTAGTGCAAATAAAGTTTTCAAAAGGTCCAGGAGTTTGACCACATACTGTACACTTACTTGTACAGTATATGAATCCCCCCGGAAGATGAAGTTTACAAAAAGGAACGATGTCCAGCAGTGATCTAGAGATTCTATAGACCAGTGTTCCCAACTTGCGGTCCGAGGACCAGTGCTGGTTGACAGAAGTTTTTTTTTTTTTTGCTGGTCCACATGAAAATGTCTACAGGATAATAAATTTATCAAAAGTAGCAATGAAGTCTGTTATCTTTATTTGGAATTTTGGATAGACAATGGCCGTTGAAATTATCTGATGAAAAATAAAACTTGGCTTTTCTCACATCACTTCAGAAAAATTTTAACCTGTTGAAAAATAAATTATTTTCAGTTGGAGAAACCTTTCTCTAAGTCCACCTTTAAAATTTCTGAAGATGTTCCACTATGACCGCTTCATTGGTTCATGATGTAATTTTTCCAAAAAAAAAGCAGAAACTTTTTAGATACCAGCCATAAAGTCTTTCAAAAATTTTTTTTTGAGTCTGCAACGATTTTATGAAACTTTGCCAGTCTGCAGAACTCTTTCTGAAAATTTGCTGGTCCACAATTTTAATCAAATATTTTGCGGAAATTCGTCAGTTCATAGACCCAAAAAGATTGGGGAACAATGATCTCTAGACGACGTTTTCCAATGGAAAATTTTCCGCACATCTCGGGATTGCTGTCAGTCAGACATTCTAGCTTGAAGCACTGGCTAAAAATTTATATAGAATGCAAATGTGTCAGGTATATACTGTAGTTGTAATACAGTACCTGCCGAATACATCCTATTTTCATCAGCAGTTATACGCGCCGAGTTATACGTGTGCGCCGATTTACGAATGGGTCTTAATCACGAAAATTCCACTTATTCATGCCATTGAATATCACTCGGAGAAAATTACACTATCCATCTCAACTGCGCTTATCCAATCAAAAAGTTTACCTGATTAGCGCAGAAAAAAATTTTGAAAAATCATAACCCAAAGTCGCTACCTATTTTTCAACCCTTTCTTTACACACGAAGCAAAAACTTGACAATTTTAGATGAGAGAAAGTGAGATACACTATTTATAAACTTACTGAAAGTCGATTTTTAAAATTACAATGTAATCGCGTCTGGTGTGCATTATAGTATACTGTATCTTCAGTCATAATAAAACGAAAGCTTAGAGTTATATCCGTCACATTTTCCACTCCACAGTATTTGAGTGAGTTTCTTTTGGGTGTTTCAACGTGATACGTTCTGATGGAAAACATTGCATTTCAACCGCGAGCATTTTCAAGGATTGAATTTATTATTTTTGGGTCACTTGATTCGATGAACTTCCCGTGTATTACATGTTTCTATGTGATTTGTCGATGCGTCGATTCATCCGGGAATTTCGGTCGACGCTTCGGGAAAATATAAGAGCGTAAGTATAGCGACCGAGCGATAAGATAAGAAATCCATGGTGGCATATAGGAATAATACACTCCATGCGACTTGAAATTCAACACTCAGGTCCGTATCGGAATACTGTGTGTCTAGCAAAACAAACAAGTGAGGGAGTAATCTCTACAGCAGTCGACGCAATAAGAACTATACGGTTTTAGAACGGGGCTTTTCCACCCCGTGGTACTTGTCAGACGGCATACGAGAATTTTCTTGAGCACAAGATGTGCCATGTGTGTTCATACATGATGTAAACACACGTGGCACATTATTGTTGAAGAAATGGCGTATAATTCAGGTGCAGAAGAAAAGAGGGAAACAAATGTTTGAAATTAAATAAAACCACATGATTTGAGAGCATTTGGAAGCAGAAGACGCATAGAGTGAGCGAGATGAAAGGACGGCCGGATAAAAAATTTGATATTGCGACTTTGATACGAATAAGTAACGCGTTATTGGTTGAAATTTTCGGAACTGGAAAATTCCGTCTGCAAATTCATTAATTCGAGTTCAAAGATGTCCGTGGTTCAACTTATTAATCATCAGGTGATAATGCTCTCTTGGGCATTTTGCTGACATCGTCCCTAAAATGAAGTCCGGCTTCAAGAGTTTGAATAATCTTGTCGATCAGACTTACTCGTTAATATTCTTCAGGGTCAGATTTTCCACCCAGTATTTCATACCCAGAATTACCATATAAATCTGCTCTATAAATGCTCTATCGATTTGTTTTCAGGTTTTTTTATACGTTCATTGACGTTCCGCGGGAGTTATACTGTACCTCTGTACGTATATGCGGGGATATCACCACCAAACAAACGATCGATTAAAAAGTTTGATTTGAAAAAATGCTGACTCACATCACCATCCAAGGGTCTGTCCTATAAAATATTTAAATTGAAGCCCTTCTTCATCCCACGAAATCTCACGAAAACGACAGAAAAAAAAACGTTAAGTGATATGAGTGATATACGGAGGCGTTTTCGGCATCCAAACTTATTCTGGAGACTGAAACAGACGAGTACTCTACTGTACTCAGTCATTATTCAAACCAAAGTTTCTCGGACGTTCAACTGACACAAAGAACCATTTACACTTTTAAAAATACAGTAAATTTCCATTGACGCCACAAAATTCCCATTAATTTCCATGACGGAATCAGCACATACACACGGTGAACGATACATTATACACTATAGCACTACTGAAGTATAGGTATGACGAAGAACTATTGTACATCGGGTTGCTCGCCTCAATAACTCGTACGCACTTTTTCACGCCTCCTCGAAACACTTCAAGTAACCGATTTTCACTGAAATTTTATTCGTGAAATCACGCAGAGAAAGATGTATACACAATTTTTAAGGCTTGATGCAATGGGAAATGTGTCCTCGAACATAGACATAATTCCTGAGAGATCATCATGCGATGTTTGTTGTGATAAGACCGCTTAATGCGTGATGTCGCGGATCTACCAGGCACCTCGTTTCTTCCTGCAAAATCGAATCCCTTGTCGAAATGTTGATCGTGGCTTCTGAATTCGTCAGTCGGGTGGCTGTGACGGACACCGGTGATTCCCCCTGAAAATTGATGTCAGCGATGATCAACGGGAGAATAATAAATCACCAGAATTCGGTAACGCAAGAAGTCGCGATGAGAGTTTCGCGAAAGCTGATTAGATACGCGAGAATGACTCCGAGTTTCCCACTCGTTCGCAGCAGGAAATAAGAATCATTCCCTTTGTTCACCTTCGCCTGAAAGACGTTCTATCAATAAATGATTTATCCTAGAACTTCTGGTATGCAATCTTAGCATACCCTATATTTACTGGAGTACCAGGTGCGTTCAAGTAAGACGCGCGCGCCTAGATTTTTCAGACTAAATTTTTTATTAAATTCAATCCCCAATTAAGACATTCACCTAACTGTAAAATTACAATGTTTAAAAATAAGAACCAAAAAATTTGAATTTATGCATGAATTAACCTGATTTTCAATTCTTTCCATAAGGAGGGTTTCTGTTAATATTGGCCATTAATTTCCCATGAAAATCAAGTATGACGCGCACCCGAACTCCTAACATTTTTTGAGAATTCGATGCCTGTCTATGATTGACGCACACCCTCCTTTTTCCTCTCCATTTGAAAAGTTTGCGCGTGGTACTCAAGTACATCACATCCAAATAAAACAATAATAATTAGTTTAGTTTTTGTGCTTGATGTATCATGCAGCATATGTCGGTGCCCCTGAGTCTTCTCTCATTCTGCACACAAAGCACAAAAAGGTAGAAACTACATTCGAATAAATTAAATTCAGATACATTTGTGGTCAGTCTTATAATTGCAGCATGTAGTAATCCTTTCTCGGCTTAAATGAAGCAAATAATAGATCATTTTGAAGTTGAGATTAAGTTTCAACAGCAGTTAGAGCAGACACATTCCAGAAGTCAAAATACAGGATTCAGAACACGAAAATTCGTCATGGTTTTTTGGAAACGAATTATAAATGGCAACTTTTCACAAAATTATCCCAAAGAAATGGCATCAGTTCACAGAGCGAGTGTGACGAACGCCGCGCGTGATTAAGCGATGAGTCACTTCTATATTTACAGTATTTTCAAGATTCTGATGGCGTTTAACCTGTGAAGTAATTGAAATTGCCTATTCTTAGAAAAGATCGCGCACGAGAATTTATTTCTCATCAGTACATCGCGGAATGTTATTGGATCGAATATCAAAGCAGCACTTACAAAAAAAATTTGAACTTTTCGGACGGCTCCTTTAATACTATATAACGTACACTCAAATTATCCACTTCAAGCATTTTTGTGACGCAACATGAGTCACAAACGGATCTCTCGTGTTCCTCAATAATCTGATGAAGGGATCTTTCGTTTTGAATTATTGACTTTAAAACTGCTTATTTGACGGTTTTTGCTTATTTACGATTATTTTTAATTTTCGAGCATTGTGTATCGATCAAATAAGGCATTTGCGTCATTTATATACTCCAGATAATCAAGACTTTATTGCAGGATACGTTTGGACCTCTTTGCTGTTATCAAAAATTAACTCGATCATTCGTGCCTCTAAAAAACAAATTATTGGTCCAGTTTTGCACCATAACGCATTTTTTTTTAACCTGAGTCACCTCGCTGGACTCTTCATCATCCGCACATTCACATGTAGTTTTTATTTTATTTTTCAATTATGACATTTACTCATTAGCTCATCACATGAAACAAAATTTCGTCATAGCCCATCACATGAAACAACATTTCGCATGAATTTTCACACAAAATAGAGCTAAACAGAAATAAAATAAGTTCCTCCGTTTTTGATCATACCTTGAGTGATTTTCATATATTACCCTAAAGGAGATTCTGTGACCTGTGCAGTGTCCAATCAAATATTGTGAATAACGGCTGAGGATGTAAATTGTAAAATACTTTATACAGTACTGTGTTCCCGGGGTAATACTGGGCAATTAAATCCGCGCCTTTCACGAATAGCCAGCAGCGCTTTTCTCCGCATCCATTTTCAGAAAATGTCGAAGCTCAAATGCGTCTATACTACCGTTGTCGTTTAACTGCGAAGAAGTGAATCGACAATTCTACTCACAAATCTATCGGAAGCCTTAGCGTCGACATTCCAAGATATGGAACCAACTCGATTGTCCTTCACTCTCGACCCTCGTCTCAGGAATCCACCACAAAAGTCGTGTCCTCGCGAATGAAATGCGTACATAACTAGAACTATCGACACGAACAACAAAGCAGCGCCGCAAGCGATCAACGCGGAGCTGCTTTCACGCTTCCTCCGCACTTTGTCCACACCGGACACGCGACTCTCAATTGACTCAACGTCGCTTTCGTCAAACATTTTAAACACACCCTGGATCTGGGCATCGCTTTTTTCTACAGGAAAGCCCCATGTTAATGACGAATCTTGTGCTGGGACTTCCACTTGGGCATCAGCGGAACTTGCTAGTGGAGTTGAGGGTCCTTTGGTCGAGGGCTGGAACCAGTTCCGGGTCGCACCAATGGCAACAAACATGAGAGCCAACACACCGAATGTGACACCGCAAATGGCGAGCACTTGGTCTCGACGCCGAGACCCCATATTCCACTTCCGCGGGACCCCATATTCTTTTAAACTGCTCACAGTTGGCTCGTACACACTCATTCTTCTTCCTATCGATGACCTTGTCAAGAGATGGGTAACTCGGCATTTAAGCTTGCTTTATAACGCCTTGGGGAGATCATGAACTCAAGCGGCGAAAAAGTCACAGTGCGCGTCTGGTTTCCATTTACAGTAAAGTGTTGAAAATATACATACAGTATTGTAAATATAGACCACACTATGCAGTTCAACATTCCCTGAATAATCAGATTTGTTTTCTCTCCATTCTTTTTTGATACTTCGTCCATTTTGTTGAAGAATCGAAGCATTTCACAGAGGAAAATTTCGGCACTTTTCTTCTTCTACATTTCAATTACAATTCCTAAACCTTCAAATATCACTCTTATGATTTATAATTCAAAGAAATCACTGGAAGCTTCGATTATTTTTTCAAGAAACTGGGTTGCACAGAGGCCTCACAGGGAATTCCTCAAGATCAACTCTAGAATCACACTATGATAAAAAATGTACAGTACTGTATAATGATTGATGACCGATTTCTTCCTTGTCATCCATATATAAACAGTACAGTTCCATAGTAGCAGAATGGCAGAAACTTCTCTAAAATGCAAAAGATAGGACATCATTCGAATAAAAATACGGTATAATCTAAATTTGAATTTCCCTCCTCTTGCTTGAAATGTGGAGAAAAGGCCAAGAATCATGCGCGGAGAAGTCAGACATTTTTTGTGAAAATCCGCACCGAGAACTACACAGTACTGATACCAAAGAAAAATTAAAAAAAAAAAACGTCGGATCACTTGCAGAACTTGAAATCATTCGAGAGCTTGTTGTTAAGAAATTTCATAATTTTTATGCATAGACAGAAGATTCACGACAAAACACGGAACACTAATACAGTATGTGCATGCGCCGACATGCGAGACAGACTCATGCGTGAAATGATAATTTTCCGTTATCTACATATGCATGCCACACTCAATATTGATAAGAAGCAATGGTACGGAGAAATGACTGCATATTACTCAAATTGAGGTTCTTCAGAACCTCAAAACTGGAGAAATTCGGACGGAACGCATGCAAGGAAAGATAAAATACGGATCAACATGAGCAGTGATTTCCAATCAGCCATGTCGGCTTGGAGATCACAATTCAGAAAGGGATTTAATTAATTCGTTAAATTAATAAATCGCCTATTCGTCATCCTTTTTTTTCTTCAAGACCAAGAAACTACATGAATGTATACCTGTATTTTTACAGGAGCTTTAGTTAAACGATAAGCAAAGGAAAAAGCCAACGAAGGGAACTTAATCGATATTTAGCCCATTTTCAGCATTCGCAAATAAAAATATGCGACACAATATCCAATTAATACGCAGAGATACAATTCTATACACGATCAATTCAATAGGAATTAGTTCCCAAAAAGTATTTTTGAGACTTCATTGCAAGATTTTTTTCGCATAAATTGCTTTCGCAATGGAGATCACAAGAATCATAATGAACGTTCATAATAAGATGAAATGAAGAAGCACCTGAAGAAATTTTCAAAATCACAGAATAACCTTCATTTACTTCAGACCATCACAATGAACTCCTATCGCCGGAATTTCTTGAATAGAGGATGACGCTGTTCTCTCGCAGCCGCTCGCTTGTACTCCATGTACAAGGCATCATCGGCTCCGGACATACTGCTCATGTTCCCTCGCTTCCACATAGCTCCTCGAGGACCATCGGGATCTCCCATCAAGCCTTCTTCATCATCGACATCGTTAGCGCTCAGGGTTTGCTGCAATAGCTGCAAGCATTCTTCGGACGTTCCATACATCAGATCTTCATTTTCCATCCCCTGCAACTTCGTGATCACCTGCGGGAATAAAAACGATCATCATCTAGTACAATATCCGATTGCTCAGAAATTCCACATCGAGAACACAAAATTGATTATTGTATATTACAGTGGACTTCTTGATGAAAACTATCTCCATTTTATTTAATTGTCCTATGCCTCACCTTATAAAAAACTATTTCATCTTTCGAATTAATTTATCTGATCTTATAACAAAATAAGCTGCCCTCGCGCCGAAGTCCAACAGTTACCACGAACTAAACCAATCATACACTTGACCCAACAACGAATAAACTGAACTGACCGCATATATTAGCCCAATATAAACCGACATCAATCAGCAAAAACCAATAAAAAGAATCGACAACATTCAATCCAATATAATAATAGTGAGACCCCGAGATGCGGACGTAGTCGGTGCTTGGACCTTGTCCCCATGTCGGAGCGTCCATACGTCGAATCAAAATTTCCCGCGTTTTTCTCAACTTTGATACAGAAAATACTTACGACTGTGCAGAGAAACAACACATAATCTGATCTTTTGGCATCATAAGGAGCTCAGGAAGCAAAGAACAAGAACAAGTCGAACAATACAGCACACTCGTAATGGAAAAAAAACTGAAAAAAGCACAAAATTATCCTTTTTTTATTATGAATTAGAGTAATTTATGATTAAATTTATTTTACGAATACTTCAATATAAATAGCTCAACTTGTGCAAGAGGTATCAAAATTTAGAAAATTACATTTTGTATTTTTTTTAGAAATGGTGGAGAAATGCCCGAATGTTGAAATATGGTCCAGATCTTGGGGCTGATTTTTTTGTTTTGTTTTAGTGTCTTCAGTGCAAGCGTCCATATATCGAGGCGTCTGTATGTCGGAATCCCACAGAACAGTAAATGAAATTCAAAACCAATATAAGGTACATATATCCTAGGCATTGCAGGGGTAACTTCAACAAGGGTTAGCCATTCAAATAATGTTTACTCTGTAAAGGACAACTACACGTCAGATCTGCGAGCTGCCACATGTAAAGCTCAAATTCCGCAACAACAAAAAAAAGAAGGTAACGGATGTTATTTTTCAGCCTCGTGAAAACGGGACATGAACAGAAGACAATATGAGTACTGTATATACCTTGTAGGCGTAACCTTGATTCACGAGAAACCGCTGACGTTTCCTCGAGTAAGCCATTTCCAACGTATCTTGAGAAACCAAGGTGTAGAAAAAAGCATTGAATTCTTCTTCGAAGGCGTTTTTCTTTGCCCTAAGAATTCTGCCCAATCGCTGAGCCTCTTGCCGACGGGATCCACCATGAGCGGAAATTTGAATGAGGACGTTTGCTTCGGGCAAATCGAAAGACGTGTCGGCTACTTTCGACACAAAAATTGTGTTTACCTTCGGATTCAGTTTAAAATTCTGCAAAATTTGTAATCGTTCGCTTTGCCCGGTCGGTCCATAAATGAACGGTTTGTTCATCGCAATCGCATAATGCTTGAGTGCGAATACGTTGTCCGAGAAAACGATGATCTTGTCCTGTCGCTTTTCGTGATAACGTATGAGAAACTGACAAGCTCGAAACTTCTCTGGATTCATCACGTACAAAAGCTTGAAAATAAAGAAAAATATAACTATTGGTCTCTATTTTGCTTCTCACGTTCCACTAGATTGTCTCACCATTTTCCGATTGATGGCCGCCGAAAGATATTCACGGTAAAACTCGGCTGACATCGGACACCAAACTTCGGCGCATTGCACACGTGCAATATACCCGCCTTTCTGTAGCTCCAGCCAGTTGGCTTCGTAAAGCTTCGGACCAATCAAGAAGTTCAAATCGGCAATTTTGTCATCTTCACGAACAAGCGTAGCTGTCAATCCAAGCTTTGAATGGGCTCTTACAATCGTCAGAACTCTTCGGAACATTTTTGCGGGAATCGAGTGCACCTCTGGAAAAAGGAGAAAAAAACTTGAACGATTCGGAATTCTACAAAACTGATTTTTTTCCAATGCGATAATCCGAAAGGATTTATGCGCCATATTTACGCAAACGAACTGAATCGTCAATGCAAAGTCGCGCATAAATGATTCAGTCCCTCAAGAAAGAAGAAAAAAGAGGAGACAGGAAAGCCAAGACGCATCATTTCCTCCCTCACTTGACATGGGGACCCATTTTTAACGTAAGAAGATCAAAAAGTGCACGAAATTTTACAAAATCAACTTTTGGAACTTTACAATCCCTAGGATGTAAATAAAAATAAAAATGAACTACAGTACTAGGGAGCAGTTTCCACTTTTGAGCTGCGAATCTTTTATTTTCTGTACTCAGATCAGATCAGGCCTTAAACTTTTCCTCGTTGATACCTGTAGATAGGCGTTTCATGAGTTGGTAGAATGAGACACAGCATGGGTGATTTGAAACGGTCCACATTTTTCAATTTACTTTGATGAAATAGCGCTTTGCATTTACATCATCCTAGCAAGAATTACATAAGACAGTCACTTCCTTCTACTAACCATCCAACAGCATGATTCCCCATTCCTGCTGTTTCAGCCAATCCATAGTTTTCTCTGCTTCCCAAGATCTCCGTTGTTGATGCGTGATCATGGAGTACGTAGTAATCAAGATAGAACTACCCTGCGGTCGATCTTTGGCTTCAGATGTGAACCTGCAAATCATGCTGTCGTCGGCGGTGGACCAAAGCTTGAACTGCTGTTTCCATTGCTCCACTGACACGCCGGAATTGCAGAGCACCAACGCGCGTTTCCGCACAGTACATACGGCAGTAACGCCGGTCAAACTTTTACCAGCACCACAAGGAAGAACGATAACGCCTGATCTAGCACGTCCATTTCCAAACATTTTACGCAGACTTTTCTCTTGATAAGGTCGAAGAAGTGCGTTCGGCCTGAGGTCGATGTTGATGTCGGGATTATGTGTGTCGTTTCGAAAATCGTATTCGGCGAGCAAGGGGTGATCCAGCTCAATGCAACGCTTCTGCAAGATCTCTATTTTCTCCTGGTTTACTTCGTACGTCAGCAAGTTTTCGGAATTTTTCAAAGAATTAAGTTCGTCGACTTCGTCGATTTTCTCATAGAAGGAGGCAATATCTTCTGGGACTTTTGCTTGAGCGGCAGCCTTTTCAGCATCGACATCTCCGACGTTCGTGTTTCCGTTCTGATTCTCGGTAGAAACCCCAGCTTCGTTCACACTTGGAAACGACGGTATCACAGTGGTCATGACTGGCTCAGAAGCCGGCTCTTTCTTGTCCATGATGAGACAACTTCGAACTTCCGGATCTTTCGCCAATTTTGCGAGAATATCTTTGAATTGCGATTCGACATAAAAGCTGTTCTGTCTCAGAACAAGTTTCACCTGTAACGATGTCAAACATAAGTACAGTAACACCAGATTGTGAGGTTTCAGAATAAAATTGAGTCAGACTAGAAGCGCCTTTGAATGAATCTTTTAACTACGGTAATAATTGCTTAAAGCAATTTTTTCAGCCCTTGTCCAAAAGCCACAATGTTATTTTTAATTCGTTTCAACGAAGCTCTTTTAAAGGTCCCAAACGCTCGTTGGAACGAGATTCTACCGTATTTAGTCTAAGGAACTGCTTTGAACAAAAATTACTAACCTTCCCGTAAGAAACGGTGCAGTCGTGGATGAATCTCACGATACCAGGCGGAATCGACGTCTTGCTCAATTTACTCAAGCATTCAGTGATGCTTTCCGTGTGAAGTCCGACAGACACAGCAGCATACAACGAATAAGCAGAAAGCTTGTACTCATGAATGAACTCGGGTCGGCAAACAGGTTCAGCAATCGCTATTAGGAAATCATGCGCCTGTTTGTAAACCGGGCTGAACGACTCCAGAAAGATGTGTCCATTGGGAGAGACCCACAAGGGACGCTGGTCGTAATCGATTTTAAGTTCAAGCAGCTTCCGATAATCCTTCGCTCCGTAAACGTCTTCCGGAGATTCGTCATCCTTCTCAGCGTTCCTACTAGCAGCCTTTGGGACAAAACCCGCCGTATCTTCACCTCCTTGAGAATCGTCCTCATCCGCCTCGAACACTTCGGACCGCGGACGTTTTTTAGCTTTTTCATCTTTCTTAAACTTTCTACCCATTTCCACGCGAAGTTGGTTTCTGAAATAAAGGAAAACCCTTGTTCAAAAAACTGCTGGGGAAGAGAAAATTCGTAAGGATGACGAAGACGTAAGGCAAACGACGCTTCGCCAGTAAAATCAACCATACCGCTGTACATGACTGACTAAAAGAATTCCGGTAAAATTCTTGACCAATCAAACCTAACTTTGAATAACAGAACGAAACCAATATTTAATGATTCAACTGACTAAACCTAATGCTGAACTGATCTAACGTAGGAATAAATCAAGATAAATGAAGTTCATCAGCGTTGCAACATGGTACCAGTTACGCCGACATTTAACGATCCAGAACCTACATATGATAAAAATTGGCAAGGAAACGAAGCGAGAACCATATTTTGCATGTTACTTCAAATGAGCTATCGTGCTTCACTAGAAATATTACCACAGTCAAGTAAGGTTGGTCAACGTTTCCCAAATCAGACAAATACCGCAACGTTGTCACATTTTTGGTCAGTCACGTACATCGACAGCATCAATTCACCGAAACAAACCCGATTCAGTTCCTTTAATCAGCTAAAAATCTTTTTAAAAAATCATCTACGGTTTACAACACAGCTCAAGCGAATCACTAATAAACTCTTTCAATTCTTTTTCGTCCCGCACACGTTTCTGCAGAGCGTCGAGTTCCCAAACGATCGTCTTGAATCCGACTTTGCTCAAATGCCTGTGTCTCATGTGCTGTGGTCCAATTAAAGTAGACTTGTCACGCACGAAGTCTTCTGGCAAGTGTATCAGAATGGCAATTGCTTCACCCGATACGCGTCTAACGAGAAAATCTATTCTATACAATCCCAACTTCGGCAACGAGGGTACGTAAAATGAAGGTTCAACAGAACAAGAAACTCCGAACAACTTTTGTGCCACCACGGTCAGTGGGAGGGAGATGTACGGGGATATTCTCGTCAACCTCCCGTCGATAAATGTTGATCTTGAAGAGCAGTCCTGCGGTAACATCGGTCCAGAGTATTGCGGACATTCAAGGCACAATGCAGTGTCGATTAACTTCAACATATTCCTCGCTGCGAGTATGTCAGCGTGAGAGGCCATCAAATGCACGCGGTCGAAAAAGTACGGGTTGAAAACTTTCCTCACGAAGTTCAAGGGGTACCTTTCGAGATATATGCACGACAGAAGCACGTCTAGGACATCACCTGGCTTGAACTGAACGAATCTGTCCATCAAAACTTTCTCGACGGCTTCGAAAACCTCAAACGCGTTTCCGGGTTCGTACCTCAAATGCCCGAAGAGCTCAAGAATTCCCTTTATCATTTCAGGAGGAATTTCATCGGCCTTGCTGACGAAATAACCTCCGAGAAAATTAAGCAGTTCAGGTGAACGGAACTGGAACTTCTTGCAGTACTTCGCTGCAGCTGACACTAGGTCTGAGTCAACTTTCTCAATGTCTCGAGTCTTCATATACTTGATCAACGATTTCTTCACAGTATCATCGCAGAGCTTTGACACAGAGAAGCCACTAATAATTTTCACCAGCTGCTGTTCAGAAACTACATGCAGGTTCAATTCTAACCATCTCGCAATCATATGCATCAGTTGTACTGGGAAGCCTTTGATGGCATTTAAGCTGTCCATAATCTCAACGACGTCATGCGGAGTGAGATTGCTCAAAAGAATTCGGGTTTTTTCTTGGGCAACTCGGAAAAGCGCATTTCTCGATTGTTTCACTGCTGGCAGAACCTTATAAAGCAAGGCGAGTTTATCACCACTGTCAATTTCATGTGACTTGTCCAACATACACAGCCACAGTTTTTCCGCCAAGCTTGACGCCCACTCGTCATTTAATAGATGGAAATGCAGAACTAGACGAGCCGCATCTTCAAAACGCAAGTTGCAGTTGATCGCTCTATGCATCAACTCCGTACTAAGACGAACGAGATGCTCCGCGTTAATCGCAGGATTGGCACAGTAGTCCTTGTGAAAAGTTTCCAGAGCAGATATAATCAAGCCTGAATCAGTGGCATTGCAAATAACGTCGACCAGAGAGCTCACTACAGCACTGCGCGTGAAATTTTCTGGCTGATGAGCGTTCAATTTGTCCGAATAACCTTCGTTGCGGAACTGAGTATTATTCTCCAAAGTAATTAGCTTTTTCAGAACTTCCACGGCAACCACAGGGGTTACGTCCTCCGCAGGAACAAAAGCAAGAAGTTTAAGCAAGTCTCGAATCATTGAGCATCGCTGAAACCCGGCGATGAATTCCGCAATGTCTTCTTCAGACTTCGCAGAGACCTTCCGCACGGACTTGAACTTGGCAGAAGGTTCTTCGCATCCCGAAGACTTCTGACAAGCAATGGGTAACTCATCGATACCGGATCCGCTTTGAAACATGGTGGAAGACACCACAATGCCGCCTTCATTCTTTTTAAATCCGTCACCGTTTCCTTTCATAAAACTGTACGCAGTTGAAGAGGTCGACGTGCATTTTGGACAGGCAAGAAGCCATGAAGGCACCTTCGTTAGCAGAGCCAACTGATTCCAGCGCATTCTGAAATATAGGACATACAGTACATGAAAAGCGATTGAATCTATGAAATTAAAAAAAGCTATTCAATTAAAAAAAAAAAAAGCTAACGGGGAGGGGGGACAGCATCACTTCAAACTTCCACCTGATATACACGTCAGTGGATTTCTCCAATTTTAAACCCGAAAAGCTTTTTGATGAAAAAAATTCCGAAATTTGTTTCAAGAAATCCATTGAACTACGATTCATTATTACTCGTAGACTCTCTCCACGACGATTTTCTCCGTAAAAGAACGTTGTTGTTCCGTTAACCCATAGTATTGAGGTTTTCAACAACGGATTTTTGGTCCCCTAAATTACTTTGTTGAGAGAGTGCACATTGGAGTAAAATATTCGGAAAACCGTATTTAACTGACCTTGAGCTGCAGGATCAGTTGATTCAAGGACATGGACGTATATTTGAGACCAGATTCATTCGCAATACAATAAATGAATCATATGATTCATTCGTTTGGATTAGGCGAGTTGTCTGAGTCTTCAAGATTAAACTCAGATAATGATTAAACCTGAAAGTAACCACGGACATGATGAAAAGCTGCAATGTAAAATGAAAAACGTAGGAAATACGCGAAACTTCGTTGCAAGCAATCATTCTACTTCTTGACACGAGGTCCATCATGCAACAAAACATAATTCATACTACGTCTCAATTATCAAGCAATTTGAAAAATAACCATGAAGTATTTTCATGTTTTTCGAAAAAAATAATTCAAAATTTTGCGAATATAGCTTTTACGTGAAAAACAAACAGCAGATCAAATTAATGGCCCGGCACTAAGTGCACAGCCCTGATTTCCGCTCTAATCATCTTACTCTCCAGTTTCAAGCAATTCAAAAAAGAAAACAAGAAAAAAAGCAAGCATTTGAAAACAACAGGGATCCGGTAGCTAATATTTTGGCAACCCAGCAGCAACCTGGGCTTCAATGCCAAGATGGTTCTTTCCACGGAGAATCTTGAAATAACCCTTGTCACCCCAGTCATCATTCCAAGAGTTTGCCACAAGCCAATACTTCACGCCGTTTTCTTCGCCGAATCCGAGAATCCTGATGGCGTGTCCTCCAAGAAACTTTCCGTGCACATGCTGATATACACCTACGAAACAAACAAAAAGATAGCGACATGATGCATTGGTGCTTTCGTGAGTATAAATTTTCAATTTATTACCAGATTTATAATTGATGAAATCTTCGTAGACGGAAAACGCTCCTTCCACAGGGCCATTCTTGGAAATCTCGTAACGAATATTCATTTCATCATTTTCCAGGGAATACGACGTTGATCCTGAAATGAAACGGTACGCATCCTTGAACGAACTTACTCTTCATTCATTAGACAAAATTTAAAATGATGCATTTGAGATAATGCAGCCTTTTCATAGTTTGAATCACACATCAACCCATTCATCGTCAATAGATTAGACATAATTCACATTCGTTCCCTGCCAATGCCGTATTTACTCATGCACGCACGATTTGACTTGCGCACGTCGTGATACGTTTCCGAGAAAAATGCTCTTCGGACAAAGGGGAATTCGCATGCAACGGGATCTCGCGTTTTTTGAATCGTAGTCATTGACACATAAACCTTCATCAACTCGCTGACCCGCGTTCAGAGGTGGCTACTGCATCACATTCAGGGCTCGGACTTGCAAATGGGGATCCAGACAAATGCGGAAGCATATTTTATTGAGAATCGAATTCCATCATTCATGGAACAACTGGACTCGGGTTTCCTCACAACACTGTCCAAGTGAGACAAGCGTGGGGTTCGTCCTTTTTTTTCCCCCATGTCATTCCTCGTGCTGGTCTATTGTTTCAACTGCGCGAAGTGCTTCAACCCCTCAACACAATTAGAGATATTTGATTCAAATCAGCAAACGGCATTCAACTGACGAGTTAAAACTTGAGAAGTATAAGTGAAGTACAGTATCATGATTACGTAATAAGAAAATGTACACCATTTCGGCGAATCGAACCGACTGCAGATGCTTCTGGAGTGATGGGATTTGACTAAAAGCCTCACTTTCAACCCATGACAAGCCTTGAAATAATTGAGACAATTATTCTTATCGACTCAATATTTCCAAAGAAGGTCTAGTTGAAATCAACCAATCTCAGGCTTTTAGGAAAAACATGGCTTTGCATTCACTACTCATGGATGCAAAGCCATGTTTTTCCTTGAAGTGCGCAGTGGAATTCAACCCGGAAAGCCTCCTTTCCCGGGGCGATTCTCTGAGAAAATTTCGAAGATTTGAAATTCGTTAATTATCTGAAATAATCCCTACACATACCATAAATACAGGAAAAGAGCGAAGGAAGTACTGATGCAATTCTAGACGATCTCTCAAAAGGTACCAGAAACTTGTAACACTTGAAAGACGAAAAATTTAACGAGGTTTAGCACAAGGAGATTTAGCGCTAATCCCACGTTACGCACAGAAGATCAAAAGCCGCCGGTAAACCGGTATTCCATTTTTCTTCCCTTCCGTGTCAGTGGCAAGATAATTCACTGTATCTCTTTCTTTCCCATTATCCGGAAGTTTTTCAAGTTAGATATAATGGAATTCACGAGGATTAGAATTTTCGCGGTTGGGACATTGCTGACTATGTTACTCTGTGGTCTGGTGATGAACCTGGCTGGGGATGAGATGATCATGGATTCCAACGAACGCGACGGCGATCCGCCAGGTGAGAAACACGCAACGTACTCAAGTCTTTGAATTCGAATGTTCAATTCTCGTATTGAGCGAAAGAAAAATCGTGAACCGAAATCGCTTGATTGGACATCAATCGGCCCACACTGATTTTCTTGAAGTTACTTTCGCGCAAAATTAAGAAATAAAAGACAAGGTATAATACCGTATTTACTCGAGAAAAACGCGCCCTCGAGCAAGTCACGTTTCCCGGTATTTTTTTTTATAGAATTGTATCCCCGAGGAAGATGCGTATTCTAGTTGAAAAAAAACTGAAATTTTTTTTATAAATACCAAACAAATTTGAATTTTGACGTAAATAGATCCTGAATTCAACTAATTTTCACTTGTTTCAATTCAAATAAGTTTTTCTGCTAAAATTGATCCAAAATTCTGCATTAGAATCACATTTAATGCACTCTTGAACTTCTCAAACTTTTCCAAAAATGCATAGATGCGTATGACGCGCAACCCCATTTTCCTCTCCATTCTGAGAAAAAAAGGTGCGCGTGGTATTTGAGTAAATACGGTAGGGGTAGAAATAATATTGACTGGTTTCCTCCCCGGGACGGTTCGTAGCCGAATTGGTGGTCTTGAAGTCGCAAGGACTGTGGATCTCAAAGGCAGAGCTAAAAGAAATGGATTGCCTCACACGCTACGTTGCCAAGGCCCTCGGCCAAGACGAGAGCGTTGAGATAAAACTGCGATTCCCCAGCGACCGCCAGCCCTACGGAGACGTTCCGTCCGTGGACTTGACTCCACTCTGGTCCCCCACTGACCCAAGTATATTGTCAGCCGCCATTTTAAGGAGGCTCGAGAAGAGCAAGAGAACCAAAGTTGTGCCAGTGATAAATCAAAAAACCTCTGGCGGCGCCGCCGAAGCATTGTTGAGGCTTTTGCGAGATCCTTCACTAGGACTGAGTCTGGTTTCGCTGGAGAATACGACTGTACCGCTAAACATGAACGAGACACTGAGTCAGATCCAGCAAGTGGCAGAGAAATTCGGACACGACGCAGTGGCCATCCTGGTCCTAGTTGAGCCCGACGACTTAGCAGAGGTGATGACCCTCGCTGCAGAGCAATATCCAGCCCTGGAGCGGGTTTTGTGGATTCATCCGAATAGCTTCAACGCCATTGCCGAGATCAACAAAGATCCAAAGGTATGATGAGGTTTGCGGGTGACCAGTTTTCTCGGTAAATGCTAGTTTATCGCACCATCCATGATCCGTAGGTGTCCAAATTTGCCGCCAAGTGCGGACTGTCCACCTTTCTCGTGTACCCGACCCAGGACGAGTCAGACGTGGAGTTGCGGGTATTGAAGTACGCCCTCACCACTGAGTCTTGCGCGTCGAGCTCGTTGCAACGATCGTTGGCCTTCGTTAAAACGTTGAAAAACGTATTTAGGAACAACGGGATATTTCCAGTCAATTGGCAGGTGGGCCACTCCAAGGGTTCTCGTATATTTACGTATTTTCCTAGAGCCACTTCTGTTAGGAAACCCTCGCATCAACGAAATTCTGCCCTCTCTCGTATCTAAATCCCATCTTACTTTACATTTAGGACATGACACTCTTTCTTCAAGATTCAATTGTACCTGAATTACGTTTCATGAAGAGTGAACAGAATAGAAAGAAACGAACTCCCAGGGACCTGATAAAACGGAAAATTCTTCGCATCGAGATTCATGGCTTTCAACACATTTTCGACATAAATTTTACGGGAAATGGTTAATAATTAATAAATACGGTAAAGTTCTTCTAAAAAAGATGATTCAAGATCTGTCATATTTTTTAGGTCTCCCCAAGGAAATGAATAACAAATTTTTTGAATACATATTACTTTTTAATGAACCTTACTTTTTAGTAATGTCAGTTTGTCTTGAAAAATAAATTGAAACAAAAGTGCATGCGGAAGAAATGATGTACTGTACTTCCTTCCAAATCTACTTATTCATTTATACCGGCTTTTTCATACAATTGGATTAAATTCCTTTCAACAATATGCTAAGTTGAAAGAAAAGCATAAATTCCGAAATGCAGCTAAAAAAAAATCCAAGCAAGTTGTCATTTTGTGCAATTTTTGAACGCTAAAATTTTCTCTACAAAGTTTTGCTTTTTTGATGAAGTTGGAATTCTGCACCAGTTAAATTTTTTTTTTCATTTTTCTGTCATTTATCAAATAATCCCTATCGACTATGCACAGAATCAGGGCCAAAAATTCGTTTACTGAGATTACATCCAAATTCTGTATGAGTTTGTTAAAATAAGATATTTACAACAATATCGCCTTTTGGGAAGCTGCTCGGACCAAGAAAAATGTTTTCTACCGAGATTCTTTGTCACGGAATTTTACTGTATCCAACTTTCGAACGCAAAGACAAAGGCGGGCAAGATGAGACGCTTAAGACTCACACCAAACCGGCGGGTTCGATAAAAAAAGACAATGGGGTTCTAAAGAATTTTCACGCGGCAGGTATGGGACCTGTTCCTCACCAAGCACAGCCCCCGAGTCGCCCAGGTGATGCAGAACTCACCATGGCTCATCGGCAGCATTTTCACAGCCAACGCGACGGCAACGGAATTGAGCAGCATTGGACACGTGTCGACAGAGCTGGTGAGGAAACACGACCTGCTCGATATTTACGCGCCGGCAGCGACCAAATGCGACAGGGAGCCCGGTGTCATCCTGCTCAAGAACACAGATTTGTTCTCGTTGGAGCCAGTACAGTACGTGTTCAAACCGGACGAGTTCCCCGACGCACTCATCATCCCGCAAAACCACGGTTTCGTCATCACACTCGAGTGTCACGACGTGAGTTTCAGCGGGAAAAGAAGTTATTTACTTTGTCACGGCATTTTCTTTTTAAATTCAAATCTCATTCCGAATCGGAAATTAATCGTTCGATTTGTGGAAGTAGGGCAGAGAGAAGCGTTCGGCGGAAATTACTTGCAGCGGAGACCAGGGCGTCCCCTGCGTTCATTCGGCATTCAGTAGACGTCACAAGCGAGGTCTGAGTGAGGCAAGACAAATATTGGCCAAGATCAATTCGAGACGAGTGCAGTATGTTGTAGACACACAGGAAGGGAACGTTCCACAGAAAAATCATCAATCGATGGAGAGACGCATAGGAAATAACAGGGTTGAGCGGGAATCACGCCCAGTGCCGCTAAGATTACGGCGGAAGGCTGTTGCCGTTTACAAGACCATGTACCAAGAGGTAAGCCTTATTCTCATAACAGTGATACGCGTGTGAAAGGGCATTGACTGATTCGATCTATTATTGAAATGAAGGGCTTGAGTCGGGACCAGATGCTGGAAACGCTGCCGGAAGTGGTGAAGCAGCCCAGACTGAGGGAGGAAGTGGAGAAGTTGATCATCCGTATCCCGGATGAGCGAGGCACCAACACTACCATCAACAGGGCCGGGGCGGAAAAGCCCAAGTACCCCCTGCCACCGTATGCCCGGTGGTTGGTTGCATCAGCTGGGCCCCTGGCAGGCTGTGTGGGCACATCTAGTGGGGTGCTGCTCTGTTCCATGCTCGCAGAGGCATCCACCAACTTCGCAGTCACAAGCGGCTGTCACGCAAACGGTTTTCAGCAGATTGGCGGCTCTTGTCAGTTTATGATGGGCAGACTCTTTCAGGTACTTATATCAACTTTATTGAAGAGAAACATCGCCGCCGCATTTTTTTAAAAGGGGATGGTGTTTAAACGAGGGATCTAACAAATGTTCTCGGAATAGAAATTGCATAAGATTGCGCTGAAAAACAATTATTGCTCAGAAAAAAAATTCCGCACAGATTCACATATTCTTCAGAAAATTCCGGTAAAAATCATCCTGGCAGCTTTATGATCTTCATAAAAAAAAAACTCGACAGGTGATGCACACATCTCACTTTTTTTTTTACCCCAGCTTTCCCTTCAGAATTGCTGAAATCGACATGGCATTAATTACAAGGGTTGCCATGAATAATTGATTTTTAATGAACAGCCATCACTTGATATGAGAATGTGGTGGCTGAGAATGAAAATGGCGGAATTATTTAAAAAGGCCTTCACTGTTTTTCAGCAAAATCATATGCCATTTCAATTTCTATCCCAAGAACTTTTGCCGGACCCCTTGTACAAAATGGTCAAGACATTGGGAGGCCCTTCATCAAGCTGACAAGCTTAGATCGCATTTTCCAAAAATAAAGTTATAGGAGGAAGATTAAGCTTGTCAAAATCAGACTGAAGCAATTGGCCAATTGAAAAAAAGTCAATGTAACCACTAATAGCGCAGCTAAAGAAGCCATGTGAAATAGTGGATGAAGATAAACCTAAAGAATAAACACTTCTTACAGTTTCAAGTTTCTATACAATTTGATTTCACGTGATTTGAAATTGTATTTAAAATTCAGCTTTTCATCAATCATAGATTTTAAAAACAGTGCCTGCCGCTATTTGAAAATAGGTCCGAATTTTTCTGGACCTATTGAAGCGATGATTGAAGCGTGTTCTATCACCGATACCACAGTTTCAAATGCCGTATTCCCTAGTTGAGCAAATCAAAGAGAATGCCAACGATTGTCTTCGACTTACTGCAACTATTGAAATAATAATACTGTAATAATAATTTAACAACCCAAAGGGGGCGGGTAGCATGTTTCACAAGGATGATAAACGATTCGTGACTACAATTATATCATTCCTCTCTCCCCCGTTCCACGTGACAAGGTGGTTCACGACGACCAGTCAGTCATTTGTACTGCACTCCATTCCTGGGGACTCATGTCAGACTTGGAATACGCAGTCGATGCAAGCTTCGGGCACAAGATGGCGGCACAGGATCCTGTCGTGCTGATCGGCTACCACAAGCTGGCCCGTCCCATCGCCGGCGCCATGAACCACTCCTGGACACTCTCCTACGTGGTCAGCATTGTGACAAAACCTTGGGTGGACCACATGATGCACGAGTTGGGCCACTTGCGGGACGCGAGCTATGTTGGTTTCGCAATGATGAGGGTTGGGGTGGCCGTGGCCAGGGTAGCAGCCGCCGTAGACTCGATCAGCTCGAATCTTTTCGCCTTTTTCTCTTCCTCTGCCTGTGCAATGCTGGCTGGCGCATTCTTAATCACAAAAACAAAGCCCACGAGAAGGGCTGCGAGTTGATGCGTGGGAAGAAATATTCCCGAACAATTGTATCCGTCGATGTTGGGCTGAGGCATTCCTTGTAAAATTTGACGCAATGACGATTCAGTGGTCCCAATAAAATAACAATCTCTCTACGACGAACGCCATGTAGCTTTTATTGCATTTTACGTTCGGCGTTTTCGGTCAATGCTCATCGTAGTTCCCTCCCTTTTTTCCTCGCTTTTCGCGGGCTTATGATGGAACTTCAGATTTCTGAGACACTTGGATTGAGGGTAAAGAAGGCAGCTTGTGCCTCAACACGCGTTTGTGATGATTGGCAGTCTTAGAATAAGAACGCATGCGCAAATATGAGGCAGGTATTACGATAGATCTAGTGGCTGAAGCGAACTTGATCGCAAAAGAATTTCAGACACGGTGCTCTTTTACTTTTGGTAACCAAAGAAAAATGACATTTGCGAAAATTTATAGCTAAATTTGCTTTAAAATGTTCGGGATTCAAATTTTCAATGTGCTTCGTTTCGCTCGGGTCGCCCACATACACAATTCTCGGTATAACATATAATCGTAAAAATCGATCGGATACCTTGATACTGTACAATATTCCACGCGTTCACGTGAATAATACGTCATTGGTATAACGTACTAACCTTTCCAAAATAAATCTCTTCTTAAGCGAACAAGATAGCATTCACGCGCAAAACTGTAAAAATGTACACCGTACTCACCGTGTTTCAGATCAGTCTTGTATGAGTTTTTGTAGTTGTCCTCACAAGTTTTGGCACACTTCGGAGTCGAGCCACCTTCAGTGCAATTCGGACGAGAGCCACTGGAGTGATGCTCACACGGAGAGATCTCGTACGGCCTACAGCCCTAAATTTTACGCAGACACCAACGTACAGTACAATACTCGCATACAAATATTAATAGCTGGGAGAATTTTTCAGGATTTACCTGATTGGAGCCAAAACTCCCACCGCTCACGATACCCGTACGAACCCAGTAGCCCCACGCTGCACCAGGGAAGCCTCCGTTACATCCAAAACCGCAAAGGTGACAGCAAGACACCAAATCTTCCGCGGAAAACCGGAAGTGCTCTTTACCGTCCGAGTGAATGCACCAACGATCTGACATGGCTTCAACAGCACCGAAGGCCTACAAACAGATCAAAATTAGAACCACTGCATTTCCCGGACAGGCAACAGAGCACAATAATCGAATTAACAATTTTCGGTCTTCGCTTATGCATATGTACACCATAGATCTGGATAAAAATCGCATGGCATAGCAACTTACATTTTTCGATTCTTCCACTCAATTAAGAGGCGTACAAGCTTTTTCTTGTCAAATTTTACAGGTCAAGTGCGAGGGTACGAAGCTGAAAATGAGAGCAAACTCATAAATTTTGCTAGCCTCTCAGATTCTGTCTTCATCCCTGATTCTAGTTCGGCCCTTTTACGTTGAAACGGAGCAGAAAGAATTTTGAAATATTCCCCGGGATACTCGCAACACTCATAAATCTTCAGATGCTTAGAGTCGAAACAAATAGTGTATTGCCGATACAGAAAAGTAAAAAAAATTTCCCGGTTACTGATAACCACGCGCAAATGCCCTTTTCTTAACGTTTCGGTACGCGTGAGGATTCCCTTGCGTACCTTTCAAATAACCAAGCCACACGTTTATATTGTACAGGGTTTATATTGTAGAACTTTTAAGATCAATTTATTCATAATCTGTAAAATGTATTCTATTCATGAAAAGGATATCCAACAACAGTCAGGTGAAATAGTGAAAAAAGCTTTTCTCTCAGTAATTGAAAAAATTCAAGAATCGTCGCACAAGTTATCATTTCTTCGGATACATAGTGTCATATTTCTAACCAAAGCTAGTAATCTTGCTCGATGTAAAAAAATGTATTTACCCAACAGGACCCACAAGAGCCCTGATCACGGATTTCACGAATGGTCGGGCAATTAGGCCATGCGTCCCTGGAGTCAAACTCCTCAGGCAACGGAGCACCTGCTTCCATAACGAAGTTGCGCTTTTCGGGAAGATGCTTTTCCGCTCCTTCTGCAACTCCTAACATACCTTTGATCACTTGCATTGGATACGCCGGATGGAAGTTTCGTCCAGCCTTAAGAAGATAAGCAGATAGAAAATATGGTAAGCAGTACTTGAGGACGGTCAAGTTCAAGCGATAGAAGGTCAGAAAGACTGATCTGCGGTTAGCCAATTTAAGGAAAATTGATTCTTCCGTTGTTTAGTAATTCGTTTCACCTTATGAATAATAAATGAACAACCTGGCTTTTACACATGAAAGATCCGTGAAGTTCAATTCTTTCTCATCAAGATTAGAAAGCCTCACCTTCCATGTTGAATTCTTGGAGTTGATCAAGTCGATGAATTCATCAGACAAAGGATGCAGTTCAGATGGAGCAGCTTTCGCGAGACCCGCGACGGACAAAATAAACAGAAGCCCGTTCATGACAGAATCACTCCTCAAACCACCCAAAAATGGCTCCTTGTCATGGATTCTTTGCAAAATGTATGAATGAACAATTCACGATCAAACGGCAGGAAAGAATCAGAAAGCCTAAACGACTTTGAATTCCAATGAAAACATAACTAATGCAAGCATTTATCCGCTTTTATTCGGGATCGCTTCCCCAACTCCCAGCCAAAACGAAAGCTAACAGCATGAAATACATTCCTCAGATATTTGTTCAACGATAAAGGCAACACACCGAAGAGTCTTGATAGAGTGGAGTTAAATCATGCATGCCTACGCAGGATAGAAGCATTTCATTGCGTATTAGCTTACCACTGAGCAAGATGGGGGCACAATCGCAAACCGGAAACTGACAAGCGGCCTTCTCTCAAAAAGGAAGAGACAAACGACATCAAAAGTTAGTAATCGGAACGGAAGTAGACAAACTATCGGTAGAAGGATGGACACGGGCTCAAAATCACATTTTTAGAGAAGCCATCAATCTTACAGCGTCGAAAAAATCACTTTCCCCATTGCGGAACAATGCCAAGATTCAAAGAAACAGCTCCGAGCTACTTTTCTTCGCCAAAACGAAAAAAAATTTCGAGTTTGAACGGAAGCAGGAAAAATTCTTTAGCTAGATGCAGAAATCATCAGGGTTTTCAGTAAAATTCGATTTTCGAGCACGGATTCTTTTCAACGCCGAAAGCGGTGCTTCTTGAACGGGAATTTAAGCAAGGTGAAGTCTGAACACGTCATGAGCTACGAAGAAGTTGGTCTCCAAGGGCTTCAAACCGAAAATCTGAGTAAAAGTGTGCGGCGGGTCATCATCTGTCTTCAGCTGGCCTGTAATCAGATTCGAAAGCATAGAATTTTTAGAAAGTGAAGGCGCAAATCCATCGGAATACAACTTTCCCGGAAGATATTCCTCCGATGCAGGAAGTTCTAATTTTCGTGTCCAAGTCACGTACCAAAAACTGCCACAAGGACACCTCCGTCGAAAGTCGGTTGGCAGTCCACGAGTGTGACGACATGAGCGATCTTCCTAAAGGTCAGCGAATTCAGCTTTTCCATAATTTTCTGCGCGCCCATGATTTGAACACCCTCGAAAGTCATCAGAGATGCGTTTTCATCGTAGAATTTCGCCAAATTCGGACGCAAAGTAGGATTGTCGAACAACTGGTAGTACTGCTCTACAAAAGCTCTGCCAATAGCATCGAAATTTGCATTCAAGGCGGTCATTTTGGTACACTGTTTCGACACAAGCTTTCAAACGAAAATAATACGGTTTTCGAATATTCCTGCACATATAAAAAGCAAAATTAATAACTCTTCACAAATTCGTAGTGAATAAAACGTGGGATCAGGGCAAACAGAACAAGTCTCTTGCGTCATTTATTTCACTCTGACACCCAGTTAATGAGACCTAGAGGCTTCCCAGTTATAACAGCTGAAACAAGGCAAGAGAACGAGCAAGCTGCGAAAAAAAAAAAGAACCGCAGGGCAATAACCACAGTCGACTCACACCCTTGAAGTACTGAAGGGTGCACCATGAAAAAGCTCATCACTTCATCGGCATAAAAACCTAATAAAAGACCCAAGATTGCTCGCTGGTCAACAAGCAATGTATCACATCTTCGTGAGTTATGAAGAATCGTTCCCACCCCACCCGCAAAAATCACAATGCTCCAGCTTTGCAAGAAGCTTCAGCTGGACATCAATGACGCCGTGTTGCCCAGGTACACCCTCCATTACTCCACCTTCCTCCCTATAAAAAAACTCCACCTCCTCAGACATCTTGAGAAGAAAAAAAAAACAGTCCAGCAGGATGCATAACAGAACGGAGTCCTGACATGCTGAAAAAATTCGAAACAGGAAATAATTCAATAATCTATATGTTGTCAACGACGAGCTCTTCTTCTCGCAGTGATCTTCGGTCGATTCGGGGCAGCACCAACGCTGAAAAGCGGACCACCACCCGGAGGAGCTTGAGCCGGAAAACCTGAAATACGACGTTTGAACGATAACTTTTCAGCAAACGCGGAAATCCATTATAAGAATTCGCCAGAAGAGAGCGCTCCTAACTTACTTTAAAATTAAATAAAATTCAAAAAGGGTACCAACCTGGATTGAAAGCGGGTCCGCTGGCCGACATTCCCGCTTCAAATGGAAAACTCTGCGTCGAAGATGCTCCAAACTGAAATCCTCCACTTTGCTGTGTTGGGGCACCTGCAGTTGCCGGAGTGCTCCCCAATCCAAAAGCAAACCCACTCGCGGGCGAAGACACGCCAGCGGCTGGCGGGTTTGTGGCACTTCCACTAGAATCGAAACTAAAACCACCAGCATTCTGTTGACCGAACGGTTTCGGGGCAGGAGCCGCATTTGACCCAAACGGGAACCCTGGGCTGGTGGTAGTCAATGCTTGTCCAAAACCGAACCCACTCGAACCGCTCGCATTTGTCGCTGACGCCGAACCACCAAAGCTGAACGCAGGAGGAGACCCAACTGGTGCAGCAGCCGGCGCAGCTGAAGATGTACTGCCAAATGTAAATCCTCCAGTCGAACCCATTTCAGCCGGCTTCGAAGAGCCTCCAAAAGTGAAGGGTGCAACAGCTTCGGTAGGTTTCGCTGCATTTGTTCCAGCCTTGAACGAGAACAGGTTCTTCGATGGATCAGTTCCAGTTCCAAAGCTGAATGATGGCGCTGCTGAACCAGTGCTTCCGGATGACCCGAAGGTAAATGCCGACTGCGCCGGCTCCGTTGTTGTAGCCGGCTTGGCTGTTGTGGATGCCGCAGATCCAAAACTGAACGCCGATGTAATACTGGCTGCTCCCGTTTGCTCCAAGTCCCTTTTCGTAGAAGACGATCCAAATTTGAATGGTTGAATGCTGCTGCTAGGAGCAGCGCTCGTTAAGCCCGTCGCACTGGATCCGAAATTGAACGTCGGGGCAGCACTTGATCCAAACGTAAAGGGCTTCGACGTCGCGACTTCTTCAGGCTTTGCTTCTGAAACGACCGCCTTCGCACCGAACGTAAACGGAGCTGCGGTTTTTCCGAACGAAAAAGTTGGGGGTAGTACTACGGATGTTGTCTGAGTCGTCGTTAACGGAGGTGATGTTACACTGGTCCCAAAATTGAACTTTGGAGCTTCTAACGTAGAAGATGCGGGTGGTACTGGGGGAGGAACCATCCATGATGTACTCGAAGGCGTCGTCGTAACGGCAGGAATACTTGAAGTCGAAATAGGTGGCTTTCCTGGAGCTCCAAATGCGGGGGGCAAGGAGAAACCAGCAGAAAAGGGCTTCACTTCGGAAGCTGCTACAACTGGAGTAGCAGTGGCGAATGTCTGCACAGCGGCAGGAAGTTCCGGAGCAGCATTTGTTGGCACAGCGGAAGCAGGTTTCGATGTTTCACTACCAGCTGCCGAACTTGTCGGTAACTTGAATCCAACCAACGCTGACAAGCAGGAAGCGCTTTTCATAGGATTTTTATCCGCCTCAGTTTTCGCAACTGTTTCTGTCGCCTGTCCAACAGAAATCGCCGGAAGTTTCTCGGCATCGGCAACCGCGACAGGTTCCGGTGGCAGCAGCGGCGATGCGGTGGACGGCTGACTTACTACGCTTGACATCAGTGCAGAATTACTGCTTCCGGAAACCATAACTTGTGCTGGCTTTATCGTAGGCATTGGTAAGTTCACACTGGCAATCGGCGAGACACCCGAAGTCACGGAGATGGAAAATGGGGTTTCCACAGATGTCGGCGTTGAGACAGGAACAAAAATTTCAGGGCCTGAAAATTCGAACAAAAATTCTTCAAAATACGAGATTAAGTAATTTCGGAATACGGTACGATATTATCTTTTAATGCCACGTTTAAAAAATCTCCAAGCGTAAAAGCGCAGCACCACTGTTCGGTCGAGAAACACATCGTATATGAATAACTCGCGCAATTTGAATTCAAGAAAAATCATGCCAAGAAATAAGCAAAAACAAAATGAAGGGATACCTTGCGACTCGCTGACAGTTGTTGGGAAGAGGCTTCTCGGTGGTGTCAGCATTTTCGCAGCTTTGTCAACACCGAAAGAATGCGGCGTCAGAAGAGACGCACGGTGTAACTGGGATGAAATTCCAGATTTCCGCGCAGACGCCAACGCCCGCTGAAGCACATAATTTGACATGATTCCTTTCGGAGTAGCGGAGCGACGATCATGAGACACTGGAATTGGCCCCAAACGACCGCCAGGTACAAGAGGTGAAATTTTCTGCTTGGTCGGCTCGGCGTTCTTTTCCGGCAGTTCATCCTGGAAGAATCAAAGGGTTCGAGCAATTCTCAGTGAACGCAACATTTTACAAACTCACCTCCGGTAGGGGAGAATGGTAGTAACGCAGTTCTTCCGGAACTTTCATGACACCCCGATGTGGCAGAAGAGAAAACGATTTTCCAGTCGGAGATTCCTCCCAGACCGAAACTTTCCTTAGATTGGTCTTCTGCTTTCCTTCAATAGCTCCCGCACTCTGTCGAAGTTCTTCGATTTTCTCTGATTCTGGTTTTTCTGGATCAAACACAGAGCTTCAGTATCGAGGTCAAAAATCATGGAGGAACCAAATATCAATACCCATGCTGATTCTCGACGGCTTTGAAGTGGACGCCAGAGTAATCGCGTGAGATGACCGATACTCTCCACCTATCCCATCTGCAGATTAGAAAACGAAATTACCGTATTTAAGAAGAAACTGAAGATCATAGAATAGGACATTTACCTTGCACACTTCTAGAGGGCAGCGGCGCGGTCGAAGTGTTCGTCAGCAAATGATTCGAGACAATTTTTGAACGGGACGGCGGAGATATAGGTGATACAGATGCGGATACAGCCACCGGCATACATGCTAAGCTTTGAAGGGATGCGCTACCAAGATTTTCAACCGGAATTTGTAATTGGGATTTCTGGCCATTTTTGGCAGGCACTCCACTGAAATTGGAATACAAATCAATGCCACAAAAAGGAACACTCGAAATTTAACCCGAAAAATTAGGTCAGTCATCGCCGGTGAGGAGATAAAGTTACTCGGGGGGAAGTTTGCAGAATTCAGAATGGTAGTTCAATTAACATTCAGAACTCACCATCTTTCCGAAAATCTTGACGGGGAACCATTAGCTAAAGGTCTGCTCGATGTGGAAGGTGATGTTCTTGCAGATTTCATCGGACTGGGCATGGTAACAGGCGGGGCATCCGAATCCTCCGATCGATCAGAGCCTGAAGAACTGTCCTTCCTCATTCTTTTCGGAAGTTTTTTCGATGAATAATCCTATGACGGAAAAAAGATTAAGGCAATTCAATGGCAGGGAAACAGAAAAACAAAACTCACCGAATTTTCCCTTAGCAAGGCTCTCTTCTTGGCCAACTTGCTTCGTTCAATCAGGATTTCAACCAATCTGTTCTCAACTTCCTTCTTATCTTCATAGCGCGTATGCAAACCATCTGTTTCAGAAAGCCGATCCATGGGTCTCGAATCAGATTCATTGAAACTATCCAGAGAAAGTATTCCACCCGGACGAGATGTATTCATTCCATCCCTCACATGACTACTAGGTTCTCCGCGAGAAGGGTTCAGCACATGCCTGCAAGCTCACGACAGATTAAAAATACGTGAACGTGCTGTTCACACTCAAGCTTACCGTTTCCTAACAGCATAGGGAGTTGCTACATTCCTAGATGCGTGGTTGGACGACGTTCTCGCTTTCCAGCTTGAGACGGCCTTCAAACTATTTGGCTGCAAAGGTGCGTGGAAATAGCTGCAAAATTCGGGAAAAAAGTTCGTTACATACCTATTCGAATTTGCTGCAAAACAAAACAAAGAACTCGCCTTCTGGGAGAATTATACAAAGAACGATATAGTGGACCACGACCTTGGACGTCCGCTGAAGCCAAGACTCCGTTCACTTGACTCACAAAACTTTCAGATCTTTGCTGCGTACCCAGAGGGCTAACGAATCTGAAAATGGAACAATGGTACTCTGTTGCACGTAATTCTTTAGCAGACTCTCACCTGGATGGAGTTGAACTAGAAAAGCCTTCGATACAACTTGGTGTAGCGATTCTATCGTAAAGAATGCCGACGGGGTTGTCGCTTCCATCGGATACAGAAGCGTCCGGAGGTGATGAATTCACGAATTCCCGTATTCTTTTCCACATACTGCGTCCTAGTTACGACTCATGTTCTGAACCTGTCGAACACCAATTTAGTGGCACGGATGCCCTGCATGATGACGAACGAATACTTTTCGAAAAGTTCACGAATTCAATAGGCGTAACTGAGCGATAGTGGTCTCGTTTCGAACCAATACTCGAGAAATTCTAAGTAGCTGAATCACATTCAGGGCCGAAACACACTAGTAGTGTATAATTAATCCAGCCATATTCTACCACAGGACTTGCATAAACACCATATATATTCCCGAAACTATTCCATGACAAAGTTCAAATCCCTGAGCTCATCGTCGTGCCAGTTCGGCGCGATAACACGATCTCGAATGCATGATCCCCGGCGGGTTTACCCTGAAATTTCTGAAAGTGGAGAGAAACTAGCGAACCACCATTGGTGGGTAAACTGGTCGGAAAATATGCCATACCTGATTCATTCGACAATGTTTCTACACTATTAAATAGATGTCGTTCAAATATAAACGTATGTATGTATGTACCATATGTATGTATGTATGTGTGTGCCCAAACGAATAACTTTATGTAGATATTGTAAATATTGCGGCAGATTATTCGCTACTCTTTATGGTGAAATTGGTGCGAGTTTATGAAGAATACTGATTATACTGTATATCTCATGCCAGTTCACTGTAAAGTTTGATTTATCGCGCGCTAGATGACCCTAGTGAGGGCTTCAGCCTTGTACTTCAAATGCTTGAGTCTTATGTATTACTGTACTGTTCGATGAAGAAACGTATATTGATGCAAGTCCCTGTAGTTCTGGGCTGAATATCGTGGCACAACGTATATTTTTCGGATCGTCTACTCGTAATTTGGCACATTTGCTGCCTGCTGTGTGACATTTTCCGCCGATAAGGAGTTCGAATCCAGCCTACAAAGATAACGGATACCCCTGATGCTGATTGCAGGTGCTTCGGTTATTGCCGTTTTGTCTCAGCATTGGTGTGCGCTGTCACTCACCTCCGCGTAATTGTTGAGGTTCGGGATTCAAATTTCGTGTTCGGGGGTTGTAATGGCGGAAAACGGTGACTTAAATGTGGATAACCTGATCCAAAGGTTATTAGAAGGTGAGCTTCTTCAAGTCTGATGCGAGTTTTCATGCAGTGATTATGTTCGTGCTTTCTTTCCCGAAGTTCGAGGATGCCGCCCTGGAAAAACCGTCCAGATGTCAGAAGCAGAAGTACGCGGATTATGTTTGAAATCGAGAGAGATATTTCTGCAACAGCCGATCCTTCTGGAATTGGAAGCCCCTCTCAAAATTTGCGGTTAGATGAGCAGACGAATTGTGAGATTGGATTGTTCATGTTTTTCTCTGTACAGGTGATATTCACGGCCAGTACACAGACCTTCTGCGATTATTCGAATACGGGGGATTTCCACCTGAAGCCAATTATCTTTTTCTGGGAGATTACGTTGACCGAGGCAAACAGAGCTTGGAAACCATTTGTCTCCTGCTTGCGTATAAGATAAAGTACCCAGAAAATTTTTTCTTGTTACGAGGGAATCATGAATGTGCATCGATCAATCGCATATATGGTTTCTACGACGAATGTGAGGATTTTTGAATGTTATTGGCATATTGAATGGTTTACTTGCATTGACATTTTGAAACAGGCAAGCGTCGGTATAATATTAAGCTTTGGAAAACTTTCACGGATTGCTTCAATTGTCTGCCGATTGCCGCGATTATTGATGAGAAGATCTTCTGTTGTCATGGTGGTTTAAGCCCCGACTTGCAGTCGATGGAACAGATTCGTCGCATCATGAGGCCTACCGATGTTCCGGATACTGGTGAGTGTTCTATGCTTTTAAAATTGTTTCCAATTCATCGTCTGTTTTGCCGACACTTGACTTGTGCTTGGTCGGAATTGTTTTCCGAGTTAGTTTCATAGTTGTATTCGAAGAAAATCCCTACTGAAATTCTCTCTCACTGTTCGGATTCCGGTTGGTTACATTTGGACTTGATCTTGTGTCCGGTAAAGGTTAAACATCTTGAATCTTCACGTCTTCGAAGTTCAGACTTTCAACAGAGCCTCGTTACTTTCGTTTCCAGGACTACTTTGCGATCTTCTGTGGTCAGACCCAGACAAGGATGTTCAAGGTTGGGGAGAGAATGACCGAGGGGTGTCGTTCACATTTGGAGCCGATGTTGTTGGAAAGTTCTTGAACCGCCATGACCTTGACCTGATCTGTAGAGCTCACCAGGTGTGTTCTGTTTCTGTTCGTTTCTCCATTTGCTCAACTAAATTCAAAAGTAACACTTTTTTCGCCCTTCAGTAACTTCTGAATTCGTCGAAGCTTCCCGAAGGGCTGTTTTCCCAAAGGCTTTCCATGAAAATATGATTTATACATTGGATAAATTGGTTGGATATTAATTCTTCGGTTTGATGATAATTATCGTTCATCTGTGAATGAATGAACGCGCCTGTCCTCGTATCTGGGGCAGTGAAATCTCCCTGTGCGCAATGAATTTTCAGGCATACTGTTTGAAATTGAATTTTCAGACAACGGTCAGTCCATCACAGGAACGAATCTTCCACTGCAACTTCGAAATAATGTTATTTATTATCTTTTCTATTTTTATTGGTCAGGATCTCATTCCAAAACTACAATGCATTAGCGTATGAGATCCTTGGCGATTACTGAATGAATCGATGAATTCTTGAGCATATTTTTCGATGGTTGTCTGTCCGTGGTAAGTAATTTTTCAAGCACCAATTCTCACCGACGAAGTTGAACGTGAATCTAATCTTGGATGAACCGTGTAACATTGTGAATCATATCAGAATGACGCAGGAGGAAGACGTTTGGTTTTTATCAAAACGCAAATAAACCCTAGGTATGGTTATTGGCCAATTTTTGTTGGATACATATTTCTAGTGCTTCAAGTAATGTTCCTCAACGGAACTTCTTTGATTCGTGAAAAAAACATGAAAGCAATTCTGGAAGTTTATCTTTGTGAACGGAGTATTTTAGTAACATAACCGCTAATTCGGAGTCCTTCAAGCCCTTCAAAAATCAAATTAAAAATGTAGAACAAGCTTCACTTTTATATTCGAAAACATCTCAATTCCAGCTTAGGCTACTAACGACTGTCTGTGAACCATTTTTATTTCAGAGTAACGCAATTTCGCTTTAGGCTTCTAACGAGTTCCTGTAAAGCAATCGAATTTTGGAGAGACGTCTGCAAATTTTCAGCTAACAAACCATGACTTTGCTTATGGAATTTTCTTTTTCCAAAAAATTTCTCTTACGTCTAAAAAAAAATTTTTCGGCAGGATAAGGATTTGAGTTCAAACTTCTGTATTAATTTTTCAAAGAATGACTCAATTTTTTTAATGTATTTTTGACCACCAATTTTTAATTCTTTCTATTTGGGTTAAAATTGACTACTGTATTTTTTTTAGCAAACTCACTGTACTTGAATTTAATTTTGCTTTATAGTGACCTACTGAAAACTGAAATGGATTAAACAATGCACAATGGGATTTTTTATGTGATTCAAATGAAATTTTCAGCCAATATTTTAGAGATCAGTCAAAAAAGACCCTTCCTTGACCAAATATTGATCATGATATTTTAGAAGGAGAGCAGACTTTTTGTGCTGTGTGAATATGTTTTGGAACTTGAAAATTCCAAAAAATGTTATCCAATTGACATCAAATTGAACAATATTCAACTTGCTGTGGCATGTGCTTTATATATCTGAAATTTGAAGTCAGGTAAGCTGATCATGTTGGTTTCAAATCATCAGTTCTTGAGAATTTCTTAGTTTCTACGTTTGGAAATTTCTTCTTCAGAAAAAATGTTGGAAAAAATTGTTCAATGCTTTTTTTAAATTATTTCTGCCTGTTGCAATTCTTTCCCCTCCTTGACTGGCTGGACTAACTGCAGCCAATAAATACAATGATTTCTTCATTTATCACTGACAATTTTAGCATGAAAAAGTTCCATTCTGAGTCCTTGATCTGTGAATGATTTTCTTGTTTGCCTTTAAAAATTGAAAGAAAAAATCCTGGAGAAACTCACTTTAAAATGAATATGAATCTTCAATGGGCTGTTGTACTGCAACTTAGTTTTTCTTATATTGAATTGAGGACATTTATTGGATTTTAGGCCCAAGGATACTTATTCAAGATAAATTTTGTTTATTTTCATAGACTCTTTTGAGTTCCTGGAACCAATTATAAATATTCCTGTACTTTCTTGAGGGAAAATGTGATTTGGCTAATGAACTATTCAGCTAACAAACTTTTCTTTGGAATCAATTAAGTTTGTACCACAAAATAGACAATAGCGTACCATGTTCCCATGCACACATGCTTTTTATATACAATATGTGACGTGTTCCTTTAGGTGTTTCAAGGGACAAAAATTTGTAGGAAAACTCAGAGAAGGATTATTTTTACTCCCTCAAAATGCATTCCATCTTGGAAATAGAAATATTGTTCTACAGTATTCAAATATTCCAAAAAATATTCTGCAAACCAGCAAAGTTTCATCAATTGTTTACAGACTCAAAAAATTTTTGATTGCAAGGCTCTATGGCAGGCATTTAAGAAGTGTCTTCTTTGCGAAAATTAAGAACCAATAACACAGTTATACAGTTGAATGTCTTCAAAAAATAGGATGGTGGGCTTGAAGAAATGTTTCTCAGGATGAAAAACTTAGAATGAATTATTCCAGCTGGTGAAAATTTTTCTGAAGTTTTGTTGGGAGAAAAGCTAACTTATACTTTTTCATCAGATAGTTTCAACTGCTAGAGTCTTTCCAATATTTCAGATAAAATTGTGAGTTTTTTGCCACTGCAGAAAATGTCCTGCGGACTGGCGCCAGTCTGCGGACCACAGGTTGGGAACACTGCTTTAGTCAATACCATTTGAAATTATGAATACGTTTTTCATGAGTCCAGGATCTAAATGGGATTTTTCATACTACTGTATTACTTCCAAAAAATAGGGCAGGATCAATCCCTATATATATGTATATATATATATATATTTTTTTTTTTTTNTTCCAAAAAATAGGGCAGGATCAATCCCTATATATATGTATATATATATATATATTTTTTTTTTTTTAACCTTGGTTCAATTGAGTACAATACGTGTACTACTGTACATCATTTTTCAAGGATTTTTTTTTGTAAGGTAATATGTGAGCTGAATTTCCACTCTTCAATTGATCCAGAGATATTTCCGATGTTCGCAAAGTAATAAGTCACTAAAGACCAGAAATGGCAAAAAGGATTTTGTTGTAGTTTGTGTTTGTTATTCCGTATCACTGAGGAATTTCCTCTAATTTTCATAATATTGTCTTATTAACTCGTTTGTTCTTAGAGCTAAATGCTGCGCTGTTCGAGAAAGAACGGTTATGGAATTCTTAGGGTCGTGGTGATCGAAAATGAGAAATGAGCTAAAACTGGTCTTTCGAAGTTCTGGAAAAGCAAATTTTCAAGCAAAGATTGGAAAAATGGAATGCACGATATATTTGAATCATGTTGAGTAATTTTTTTTAATTTTGTTAAAAACTGCAACTGGTAAATTCTAAATTCATCTTTGGCTTTTGAATTTTAAATTGTGATAAGAACTTTAATGTTCAGCGTTTAGTGTAAAGTGACGTCTAGTTGAATTAAATGATGAATGAATGCTTTTTATGAGAAAAGTGATGCTACCCCATGATGAAGTTCTAGCATTTGTGTGCGTAGTTCGGTGTGCTTCACACGCATAAATATTGGCGCAGGAATCCTTCACAACAAACCTTTTCTCTGTCAACTTTTCCGTCATCCAAGTACTGTACAGGTATTTTAATTTTAAAATGGATCTGGAAAACACGGGCCGTTAATTTTTCAGTAAATATCGCACAGTACAATATTTTTTCCACTCCGGAAAGTTTTTTTTTCTTTTTCAGAAGGTGGCCTTTTCATTGCTTCGTCAAATGTCAATGATGTTTTCTACAAATTTTCAAGTTTATTTTCTAAAAAGGCCAAAAATGTGCTTTCATGTTCGAATTGATTCTTTCAGTTGATGAAACATTTCTCTACGCATGTGTTTCTTGAAAATGCGGTAAAAGCTATAACATCCCGTTAGAATTAAAATACTGTACAGCATTCCCAATCAATTCCTATGTTTAATTTGATGTTATATTCTGTTGAGAGGTACACGTGTACCTCTTGGAACTCGACAGAGACAACGTTTCAAGATTTCAGATGAGCCATGGAATCGAATATAAACATGTTGATGACTTCTAAATTTTGAGAAAAGTCTTTTTTAGTCCTCTTCCGTATTTAATGACCATCAGTATGCGGTGTCAGTCCTATATGTTTCTTTAATTTTCCTTGAGTGGCCGAAAGGCACTTGTAATTCCATGAGTCTGCGCGTAGCGCATAAGAACTTCAAGTTTTCTTTGTCCATTTTTGAAGATGTACATGTTTTGTGTACTTCGTAACAGGTCGTCGAAGATGGATACGAATTTTTCGCCAAACGGCAGCTAGTAACCTTGTTCTCGGCCCCGAACTACTGCGGGGAGTTTGACAACGCTGGAGGGATGATGTCTGTTGACGAGGCTCTCATGTGCTCTTTCCAAATCCTGAAGCCATCCGAAAAGAAGGCCAAGTACCAGTACGCGGGTCTTGCTCAGGGACGAGGAGGCACTCCTAATGCGCGCGGAGTCCAGCCACAGAAGAGGAAGTTGTGAAAGTGTTTCGTTTCAGTTCTTGACAATGCTTACTGGGTTGTGAACGCATGTATCGAACTCCCTTTTCCTTTGTTCGTTGTCCGGTTATCCTAGTGATAGAATCCCTCGCTGATTGAAAAGTCCTAAATCCTCGTTTGATGACAGATCTCGATTGACTCAACTGCCGAACAGCTTGGAGGCGATTTATTTTGCAACTTCAAAATATCTTAACGGATTTCGTACACCCAAGAAACGTTATTTCCAAATGTTGTATACGAGGATTTTTTAATTTCTGGTTTGGACCTGTTGCATCCCATGCTTTTTGCACAAGAGATATTCCTCTGCACTGCTTGAGAATCTTGAAAGCCTTTTTCTCCATTTTTTTATGAAGATCTTGCTAAATAGTAAAGATGTTAGCATTTTTTGTGAAGTGCTAGTGTTTTCAGAAATTAATCGATGTGCTTCATTATAAAAAATTGACTTAGAAAGCCTTGAAGGCTCACTTCGTCGCCCTTGAAATGACTTCGTTACAGGCGTCCCCAAGCGTTTTTATACTGAAAATGCTGATGGAAAATATATGCCATTAATTTGATCTGGTTGTCAGATAATGTACGCTAAACAAATGTTCAAGTGGGCCCAAGAACGTGACCAACCTTAAAATTACAAAAAGTAATATGGTGAAATAGCAACAGGTGATTATTATTCAATGAAAATTGCCTTCGTTGAATTTAATTTCGTGTAATTGAGAATTTGACTATCGAATCACCCCCACCCAGTGTATTGCCATACCTTAATGTAAGAGCCCAGCTTTCATACAGTAAGACATGAACTAGAAGAATGATGTCTTGTACTCCTTCACTTTCAATGAACATTTCTCTCCTGTCCAGCTGATGCGATTCCCAGCACACTTACGCGACTGAAAACTTGAGCATAGAAGTATTTTTAGCTACTGGGACTCGGAATTCTCCAGTAAGTTGCCCCGAGGAATGTGTCAAGATCGAAATCTTGACACGTCAACCTTGATGCATGGATAAGCACTTTAATCTACTGAGCACCTGAAAGTTGAAGGCTACACGTCGATCTAAAACCAGATGTGAAATATTCATTGGATGAAAAACAGACACACCGACTACCTTTTTCTGGATTGTGACATCAGTCCAAATGAAGAACTTCATACGTGACAAGATCATCGATTTTTCATTTTGCTTTTGACGTCAAATATCTGCACAAAACGACACAAATCACGGAAAAATTTCTGACTGGCATTCTCGCACAGTGTTCAATCAACGGAGAAGTGCTACAGAGTATTACTTAAGCCTAACCAACCTGGCAGGTTCAAAGGAAAGTTTTCCGAAGTCACGGTAACAGCTTGAAAATTACTCAAGAATATCATACAGCAGAGATTCATGCGAAAAATCGATTTTCGTGAAAAACAATCCCGCGCCAATAGATCTTTTACGCTAAGCGTCTCAAAATATGCGAGAGAATTGCTAAGAGATTCATCGTCTAAGTTTAGAAGAGTCAAAATCATTAGCCACATCATAACATCAGATAGATCTTCAGAAGAGATCCATAAAAAATAGGCGCGCGTACCTGGAACGAATACATCAACAATAATCACCAAAACAAATGTAATCTCAGCAACACTTGAATCTCTGCTGAATATCGATTTCATGCGGAACAAATTGACTATTCAACCAAAAATTCGACTCGTACGAGCGACGCCAAAACAAAAGCCTTTCGTTCCTAATCGTTACTAAATAAGAAGAAACACTTCCGAACAAATATATCTCTAATACTGCGTCGCAACATGCGACCATCAAAATGTTACGCCTCATGATCACAGTGCTTTCCGAGCCAAAAGAAGAGACTGCTTCTCTGTACAACAGTTGGAAAACTGGTCAATCCGACCAAGTTTACATTACAGTACAATCTCCGGCATCTTACGCGGTAAAAGAATAATTTAAGCTGTTCACTGACGCGAACGACGGAAATCCGTCGAAATTACTGAGCACACGAAACACACCGTAATACATAATGCATATCGTCGAATTTCCACAAAAATGTCTCGCGTTCAAAAGCTCAGTAACTGCTGACACAAATTCATCCATATTTCACACCAAAAAAAAAGCAAGGTTCAATGGAAGTGTAGAAAATACCTCGACATACGCATCTATCCAAAAGCGCAATACTACCTAGAAAACAAGTCATAAAACGGACAGCGGCAAATATATTCAAACCCCGTACTCATACCGCGTAAGTCTCATGAAGTCACTTTCCGCCTCAAATCGCTGCCAAGGCACCTACGGAGACAATATCTTTCGACCCGCCCCCTTTCCAATCCCTGATACACACGTCTTCTTTAGCTTTCGAAGAATAATTTAGAAACTCAGTTTCGGAAAAAAAGACGAGGGAAAAATATTTCTTCAAGTTTTCGATATCATTCTGTGGCACAGCGTTGCTTCACGGTGGCTCTTCCGCGCTCCAAAAATTTGTTAATCGTCCACGATCCCACGAGGCAATCGGAAACGATACAATTTTTGCACACGAGTCGCCAGAACATCCAAACCTTCACTTACAACCCCTCTCAAAATTACGTTGAATGCTGCGGTTAAACAAGAAAAAGTACATTACCATATGGCCGCTTGAGAAATAACGGGGGAATCGAGCATAGCTCAAGATTTCCTAAATTACTTCGAAACATTTCTCGAATGGACACTTCGGATAGCGTGAGCAATTCTTCAGTGGTCCGCGAGTTACTGTACGTTCTTCGCATAATACCCCAAGAAAATGGCACGGAGAAGTTTCACAGTGGAGGGAAAATATTTGCAGAAGGCACTCGCACAACCAGAGCGACGGGGAAAAATAAGTCACCGTGCAGCTTCAAATGCTCCAGATTCCGTCTGGATTTTCTTACAAAATTCGAGGTTCAATACGCTTGAACCAAAAACGAATATCTCCCGAAACAAAATAAAGTCGCGCAAACCTCAATTCGACGATGACTCGGTACGCTGAACAAAATCGTTGTACTCGTTCTGATGACGGTACTTGTGGGCAGACATTTGCGATAAGCCAAGCACGGCAAAACGACAGAGCAAACAGTGGTAGTGCGTTTGCCGTCGGTTGTGGGCACACTGCGACACACCACAGTCTACACCCGGGGTAGCCTTCGAGAATCCGGCGGCATTTATTGAATCCATCTTTTGGTGTTGCCGTCGATGTGCAACCACTTTGTTAGTATCCGAGCATACGAATTCACATTTTATGCAATGGAAATGCGATGCCTTGTTCGGCTGAGTGCCCGGTGATGGGGAGTACGGGCAGTTGGGTCGGTTGCACGGCATGTGAGCGCGGTATTGGCAGAAATCACCACCCATCAGGGTATCCAAACGCTCGTGTCGGGCCGTATGCTGCACGAACCGTGTCTTGTCGCAGAACGAATAGCCACAATCTTGACGTGTGCAGTGGAAGTGAGTTTGATGCTCCCGGTAGCCGCAATGTGCATAAGAACAATCTTCGTTGAACCTGTGTATGAAGATTTACTAATTAAGCCGTGAAATACATGCTAGCATTCACATGATGGAAGCATTAGTTTGGTCCCGTAGTGCTTCATTTGCTTTTGGACATATCCGTACTGTAAACAGTATTTCCATGGACAAGACGCTCTTTCTTAAAATTCGACTCGGTAATAATTGGGTGTGTTGGATTCATAAGCATCGCAGAACAATCGTAGGTCGCATAAACCTCTGCGCCTTTCTTTCGGTAATTGATTAATTATTTTATAAACTCATTGAACATTTTCCAATCTTGAGGATGGGTTCTGAATTTAATGTGCCTCGACTAAAAAAATTCAAAAATACAAACGAGGTGGCATGATTAGAAAATTCAGAATATTTATGGCAACTTTTCAACTTTGCAGTATATAAACAGTAATGTACGTTTTTTCCTATAATGCTATAATTTAGGAAAACTAGGTTTAATATTGCCTATATAAATAGGTTTAATATAGGTATAATATTGCTTCAATGTTCGAAGGTTAATTTTACTCGAGAGAAAATCCTGGTGAGCCGTCAGGCGTCATTGCTGTTCGCCAGTTCAACGTACTGTACTGCATTGATTGTCTTCCAAAATCAGTGCGATTTTTTGTTCTCCGTTCATGCATATATCAGCGGCTATCTATTTTATGAGGCAAATTTTAGTAATGCACCCGAGATTTGTTTTTCGTTCCTGGGGGTAGAAATTTAAGTTACGTCTTACATGTTTCCGAAGTACTGTACAGTGAATCCTCGGAAGGCAAGTATTCAAATCATCAAAACGAACCTGTAGCGTACATATCCTTCAGGGACTGGCTCGTCTTTCAGAAGCCTAAGGCTCGGCACTCTTGGTCGCTTGTCGTCTGAAGGAGATCCTACCGATTGAGCTGGAGATCCGGGTCGTTTCCCGAGCATCATGTTTCTGTTCGGCTCCATGCCATCCATCATTGGTGATTTCGGCCCGAAGGATTCGTAACCATGAGGAGATTGCATTCCTGCATTTTGTAGCGCTAAAATAGTAAGCCAAAATTTTTTGTCATTCTTGAAACCGTTCTCGAGGGATTTAAGAGAATCAACTTACCAGAAAGCTGTGCAGCCATGAGGAACGCTGGGCCATAGGGAAACATAGCTCCTCTGCCACCTGGTGATCCTGGGTGCGCAAACATTTGTGCGTATTGCGCAGGAGTCACAAACGGATTCGCTGATGACACAATTGCCCCTGGGAATATTGCAGATTTCTTCTCGGGATCTATACAAATAGATACAGATCACAATTGAAAACAAATTTGCGAAACTATAAAATTTGCTTTATAAACTATACATGGTCTATAAATTTGTGCAAAATACAGTACTTTACTTTGATCGTGTTCTTTTTTTTACAGCTTAAAAAACAGTTTCGTCTTAGATTCGCACGCTTGCCAATCATGCTGAAAACTGCGATGCAGAAAACGGGACCTCAACTCACATCGGATCTGTCAAAGAATTTTCTTCCCATGACTAATTTTTAAATGAAACGCAATATTTTACTCAAGGATGCTTGCACGATTAATTTAAACCTAGCAAAAATTATAAAACATTGCATTAATTTGAAATTTTTAAATGGAAAAGCACTGCTTTTGGCAATTTGTTCAATCGGGACCGGAGAATTTCGTGTGTATTTTCATGATTGTAAATCAAATACTGTACTGTAGATCCATCTTTGAATGACTGGCGAACTTTCGCAGTTCGGGGGCTGTTGACTACGGCGATTCTTAGAATCGATGACATCTTTGCTGCAGTAAAGTAAAGGCCATTGTATGGAAAAAATAATAATAATCACCATCTGCTCTACCATTGGCCATCAAGGCCTGCGTCAGTGCAGAAGGCTCAGGTTCCGTCCGACTTTGTTGACTGGTTCCATTTGGACTTTGTTGTTCGGGTTTAACAGGCAGCATGATGTTCGGTGGATACAGGCTTGAATTTGACCCGGACGACCCCAGCAAATGCTTCTGAATGTGCGGCTGCAATCGGTCAGCTTCGGAAAATGCCTATGGTTGAGAAACAATATATGAGTCATCAATTCGTGTCAAATTTATTATAATGCAGAGGTTCTGCGGAGTCCTGCTTCCCGCTTATTCGCGACTGCTTCAGAAATTTAAATGACACGAACGAAAGAGAAAGATTCGCAGAGAAACGATCAAAGTTTGCGCATGAAGGAAGTTTCAATAATAACCGCACAGACTAATACCAAGGAAAAAAATATGCTCAAAGTAAAATACTGTACTGTACTATGCAATACGCATAACTTGAGGTGAAGACGAAGCAAGCAAAATGTCCTCACGCGTTTGGCTCGAGTTCGAGAATTCACGCACAGAGACATTAGAACAAAAATGCGTTGCAAGAAGACGTCTAGTCTACCTGGTTGCAAATATTGCAGTGGAAATGCTCCCGCTTCTTCAGTTTGCAAAATGGCCTTCCACACGCATTATCAGGACTGTATTGCTGGTGCCCAGCGAGCAAGGCTTGTAGATTTGCTTGATGAGGCTGCAACAATGCACTGCTGCTACCTCCTCCAGCAGCAGGGTGCCCGAAAACAAAGCTATTGTTGGGACCACTGGTAGAAGGGATCACGGAGGGCGATGTCGGCGATTTGATACCCGGGAATGAGGGGGCAGTGTGTCGTTGTTGGGCTAATTGGAGTTGTTGGGTGGCATTTCCAGCCACTGATCCTGGCGAGAACAGCTTTGAAGCAGCTCCTGCTGAAGCATCAGCATGCGGACGAAACAGATCCTTCGACTGGTGCTGAAAGCCCATGTCTTTCGGGCTCAGCTCGATTTGGAACGCTGATCTCTTGCCTCCGTCGGACACTATTATAAACATGAACGCCAAAAAGGTTCAATCAATTTTCCAGCATTCGATCTACTTTCATAATATACGAGCCAGCAGAAAGTATCATTGGAGTGTTTTTGAGATGAACTTACGCTTTCTGTGATCCACAATCCTGATGTCAGGGTTTTGCGACGAGATGTTGAGTGAGTGAACTCGCTCGGCCGACGAACTACCGCTGCTGGGATTGTTACCAACCGAATCTCCTCCACTGCTGTTGTTGGCTGACAGGTTTTGTTGGTTTGAGGGGGACGGGGTCAAATTCCGATCACTTCCGGGGGATCTGATGGTGGGATGATCGGGTTTTGAGTGATTTGGGCCAGGAGGAGGAGGTGACGGATCGTCTTTCACGTCTGTTCGGGCCATGGGTCCGGCTTGTTTCGGCGGAAACGCTGACAACGGGTAGAATGTTCCAGCTGCTTTGACAACTGCTGTTGCTGTGGAAATACATCAAAGACATTTTAGAATTAATAAAAAATGTTTTGAACTTCATTCTTCAAATTCTCAAGATCTCCTTTTCAGGTAATAAGTCAAACCTCTGAAGAGGCAAGCTTCATTGGACCAGCAGAAAATTCGAGACAAAGAGGTTTTGATTCAGCGGAAAAAAGTATTTTTGTTGGGGGAAAGGAAGAAAAATTACAAGAAAATTTTTGTTGGTGATGTTCTGGACGTAAATGTTGAAAGGAATCGAAGGCGAGGGTTCATTTGCCCAAAGTCTTTTACTTCCTTTCGAAACACATCGAGTTACTATCCATTTGTATTGCTTTTTTTCTTCTCTGTGTCCATGAAATAATATTTTAAAGGTCTCCAGAAAATCCGAGTTTTGACGCTTGTAGAGAGAAAAGGCATGTAATTTGAATGATCTCGATTAATTCAAAATTCAAGAGTCGTGCTCAACATTGAGGTGCAAACGTTTTTCGCGATCATTTATGCAACTTATTTGCTTTTTTTCCGGATTGTAACACTTCATGTGTTTGTTCCTCCAACAGTCTCAAAGTGTCGCCAGATAAGTAAGGGTCTAATTCGGATAAAGGTCGTGAAATTTCATATTTATCTAACGATCTACACTTCCAATTAAATTTCAATGCCTTTTAGCCATTTCGTCATTCAAATCTGCCCCGAATTTCGAATATTTTTCAATGCATGTAAATCGATCTCGAATTGACTTAAGCCCGCCATTTTTATAAAACCAGTTCTGCGCAACATCTAGTAGGGTGATTATTAAAAATAAAACCGCTGGTGTACAGCCCCCTTTCAACTACAGTATAAGGTGTGCTTATCGCGAAAAATGGTCGATTTTGGCGACTTGAATGATTAAAAAAAAAGGTATGGACCACTGACCTGTTCCACTGTTGGACGATTCCCCGTTGTCCTTGTCGAACATGGGCAGCAACGGCGGCGGAGGTCCAGAAGGACTTCCAGTGGACCGATCAGACCCACAAGGTTCCTCATCCGAGCGCCGGTAAAACTTGTCTTCGTCTTCGTCATCCTCGCTTTTCCGAGAATTCTCCGATTTCAGTAGGCCGATGATTTCGCTGTCTTCCCTTCGGATGAGCAATGGGGGTTGCGACGACGGGATCTGTTGCGCACTATTCGAGTCTTGCTTGTTTCGTGCCAAATTCTCGGCCACAAGGTCCCGTTTCGCTGCGCTGAGAAGGTGCTGTTGCAGAATGTGATGCTGCTCGGCTTTGGCAGCCACCATTGTGATGGTGTCTAAGTGCTGGTCAGCGTGTTGCGTCATCGCCTGAGTGTGGTTACACACAAAGCCGCAATGCGGGATCGTGCAGTGATAATGCCTTTGCAATTTGCTGCGATGAAGTAAATGAAGGGAAACAAAACCGTCATAAGATTTCTCGTCGGTAACTTAAAAAAGAAAATCCATTTCTTTCAGCAAAAACCAATCCGGCTTTACACTAATTTCCTCCACAGATCAACAATGTGTACGAAGTCACGAATATAATTCAGCTTATTGGCGTGGAAAACGCGCTTGAGAACTCTGGGGGGGAAATTCTCGGTATTACCAGACTTCCAAAAATAAATGTAATGCCTCATTTTTTGCATGAAGAGAATAGAAAGATATTTTTCATTCTGAAATGCAGTAAAATAGTTACCTTTCTTTCTTCATTGCGCTATACCGACCCACATTTTCTAATATTTCTCTCTAAAATGAAAATGAATAAGGCACCACGAATTATAAGATGTTTTTTTAAAGTTATTCAAGAGCTTGTTTTCTACATCTACAGTGTATGAAACCACGATTTCCTTTTACGAAGTGTTTTTTTTTTCAAATCTGAGGACTCTTCGCCAAGTTACGGATGCAGAAAATTTGCGGGAAGGAGAAGCAGGAACATCGTCCAGCAAAGTAGGTTTTGACGGTAAAATTATTGATGGAATTTGTTACGTCTGTCAAATGACCTTTTTTTTTTCTTTGAACCCACTGTGGGAAGGCTAGGCCTCGACAATATGCATGCGGTAGATTTGCATAACAACGTTTTAAACATCACGCCAAAAATTGAAACAAGATATGATCCTATCTTGAAATCGTTGTTTGCTGCGCTTGTGCGCCTTCCACTCGACGTGAACCGCCGATCGCGACACTTTGCTAACTTCAGGCGGAACAGTAATGAATGCTCACTTTTGGCAGTCGACGACTCGACAGCTGACAGAGGAGTCGAAGTATGCGAAGCAAGCAGCGATCTCTGTCGACGCGTGGAAGTCCGCGTGTGATTTCGCCTGATCCTCTCGATTAGTCGCGGTGAAGCAGCGCGGGGAAGCGCAGTGGTAATGGTGCGTCATCTGGTAGGGACACAACGGATCGGGACACGGCTGGTCCGCAGGCAAAACGTAAAATCCGTTCTCCACTTCCAACTAATCAATTGTAACCATACACAAGAAAAAAAAACATGTATACAAGTTTCTTTTCAACGAATTTCATACGTTTGTCACGCGCTAACCAGAGAAATTTAAATAACGTACAGTTCACAGTATATCGCATTTACACTTTTGTAAACGCGAAAACTCATTTCAAATTGATTCGCAGAGACGATGAAGAGTACGCATAAAACTAATAATGTCACGAATAACTTCAATCACAATTCGTTTCAATGGGATTTTGAAAAATTTCAAGTTTCAAAAACTTTAAACGTTGGAATGCGTGCATCATTAAAAAAGAAATGCATTCGTTTAAGTAAACATCTGATTACTTTTCGTTTGAAGAATTCGTTGTTGCATGGCGATAAACAAGGTCTTGTGTTTAAAACAACCAAAGCATAATTTCTACAGGATTTAAAAATAATTAATCCTGATGAAAAGTCTAGAAAATATAAACGAGCTCAGTTCTTAGAACAGCAATGGTTTATGATTATTGAAATTTTAGCACTCACTTTCATTGGAAGATTTGATTCAGCGTTACCAATGTCCCGATGAACTTTCGAGCCCAGATTCTCCGGAAGAACTTCGTGGAAAGTCGCTTGTTTTTTCGGCAATTTGAAGCTCGCGAAAATAGCTTGCGGCTCGAGTCCCGGAACAGACCCTGAAACCTGATCAGCAACACAAATTGTAGTCCTTAAACTCTAGAAAAATTCTCTTTACTGAACCGAAAAATAAATTGAGAAGCCATTTATAGAAATGTTCCATTACTGTATTTTTTTAATTACCTGAATCAGCCGGTCATTCGGAGGACGGCCGCGTTTTCGCCGGAAAAACCCGTCGATTACCCCGGGACCCGACGAAACCGGCCCGCTGTTCCCGAGGCCACCAGTGACGACTGTGTTTCCTATCAGCAACGGGTTCTCCAGCTTCGACTTACTGTCATTGTCGGGGGTCGAAAGCAGGTTATTTCTCGTCAACGTCACTGCGCCGGGGATCGACACTGTCGAGGCGCTGACGACGGTTTGCATCGCTGCGGACGACATCGGCGGATTCAAGCCGAGTTTCTTGGAGTACTCGTGAATTCGGTAATGATCCAGTCGTCGGAAAGGTTTCGGGTCGCCCAGCAAAATTGTTTCCATGCAACCATCCTTCATTATACAGCAGGACAAATTTTTTTTCTTCAGTAAAATGAAGAGCAATTGCACTAAATTCTTCAAAGGTTCTGTGGACCGACCTAATTATCATGTTTATTTTTCTCTCCTTGTTTAAATATATTTTTATTTTAAGATGTTGATTTACTTAGTATTTTATTTATTATGCTGCCCCTCAAATAAATCAATATTTGCAATTTTGTTAAATATTATTTTTAATTTAGGAAAAAAATTGTTTATTTATTTATTTTCCCAGTAAATTGAAAAAATGCAATTTTAATGGGATTATTTCGTTTTATTAATTATTCTGAAGATTTTAAGCAATATTTCAAGAAAAGTGCCACGCCATGGATCTATTTATACTGGCTTGTACTGGACAAATTTGTATCAGCAGTATATCGCAATGAAGATCTGAATAAGAGTACGAATTGCACATCTTTACTCACCCATTTGCAGTGATAATGAATTTTGTCTTCATTTTGGCAAAAGTCAGTCGGGCATGGCGGAAAACCGGGTCCACTAATGGAGTAAAACTGCTGTGTCACCGTTTCCTGGAGCTGATGATTCCTCGCGTGCTCCTTAACCTCCAATGGAGAACAAAAACTTGCCAAGCAGCCAGGAACCTGAAAAAAATGATGAGGTTCAATCAATATAAAATTGCAATTCAATTTCTTCAGCACTGCTAAAAATGTAAAGCGCGCGTCTGACTTCGCCGAAGTTTTGCCGCACTAAAATAAGTGCAAGCTTTGCGGGTACCGAACGTAATGCAGTAATAAAATCGGAAGACCAATGAGCTGACTTTATTTATGCCGATAATGTAGGAAAAGTTCATTTTTGAATATTTTACCGTTCTTTTTACGCATCGGGGAATTCAAGGTCTCGGAATTCTCAGATGCAAAGTTTATATTCCGCTCATCGACATGGTTCTTGGAAACGTCCATGCGCAAAAGCAAAAGTGACAATAGCCGGCCTTTCTGTGGTTTCTTATTGTTCCTCAAATTTTTTCATTACGTAAATTTGATGTAGTCAGTTAAGAGAAATTTGGTCGGTATTTTGCCGGTTGAATAGAACTACAGTAATAACCTTCTACGAAGAACAATCCCATACGTTTTTGATTTATGATCAGAAACGTTTTCGAGAAAATTAATCCCTGACATTCTATCTGTCCGTCGGTATCATTTTTTAAAAATCATTATCATTTACATACAACACTGCATCGTTAGAATCCGACCGGGATCCTTATGAAGAACGAAGAGCAAACATTTTCTTCAATAATTCATTGGAATTTTGGTGTTGCAAGCGGAGATACAGTTCGTGAATTTGAAGGCCAACAAATACGTCGCAGTTCACGGATAACAATTGTTTGCAGATTTTAAGCCCGTTTTTTTTTATCAAAAGAATTCGTTTCCACGAAGCTATCTTTTTCTTTCAAAATTATGAATTGAAATTAAGATGCACGTCATGACAAAATAATAATTGACATTTGTTGTTAACAAAGTATAGGTGCATGCACCATTCACGGTTACACGGAGTTTCCTTTCTGACTTGCCTCCTGAATTTCAAAACGGCAAAGCATGAAAAATGCTGAAAAAGGTCAATTCGGGATCAAAAGATTTCGAAACTAATTCAGTCCGAATTGAGACATTTAAAAAAAAATATCTCTTGAAATTTTGATTTTCGTAAGTCAAGTGGTTAGCGATTTTAAAGCATCATAGCGTGCCGACTCTTAACAAAGATGCGCGTCTTCTTCCAAAAAAAAAAAGATAAAGCTTCTATGAGATGTGCCAAAAAAAAGTTGTGGCTTGGCATTGACCAAAAGACGAACCTGGCAATGGTAATGAGCACCAGCAGCATCGACGAGGTCACAGCCGGGAACACAGGGCTCCTTCGGGTTGAATCTCTTGAGATATTTTCGCCACAGGTCTTCCGAGTCCAGGGCCATGGCAACTGCCATGGGGATGGAGTCGAAGCCCATCGGCGCCACGCTGAAGCTGCTGCTCGTGTCGCCGCCGCAGGACCCCGGTGACGACGCTGACGAGTACACGTTGTTCTGGCTCGACGGATCCGGGCTGCCCTGTCGCATGTTGAAACTCGGCGTGCTCACCGGGCTGCCGTCGGAAGGCGACAATGTCGGCAGCTGTGCACAAAAAAAAATCCAGATTAGCATGATTTTTATTTTTTTTATTTTTGGTGGTTAAGGCACCCAGCGACAACTTTTCAGGAAATAAAATGCAACGATTTTTTTTTTCTTTCAAGGGTGATGGGTTCTTGAAGTATTTCCGCCCATTTGTGTGAGTGTTTTGCAGTTGTTCAAGAAGCTTTTAAGCTTCTTGACAATAGCTAATGACAATAGCAGTTGAAAGTGTCTACTGAAAAGTAAAAGTTGGCTTTTATTCTTCTGATGAAACTTCAGACAAATACTTTCACCTGATGCTGAATAAATTACAGTATTTCAAGTTTTAGTTCCAAGAAACCTTTCTTCACGTCAAGCTTTCTAATTTTTGAAGACATTCCAGTGCAGCTGCTTCATTGATCACTCAATTTTTTCAATTCATTTTTTAGGACTTCAAGGCAGGTGTTTAAAAAAATTCGTGCTGGTCTGCAAAAAAATGTTTCCAAAATTTGCCAGTCTGCAAAAAAATCATGGAAATTTTCCAATCTGAAAGCCCAAAAAGGCGGGAAAATGCAATCCATCCTGATAAATGTTCAAGAAATAGCATAAAGAATAATGTATTGTACAGCGGTCATCGTCCTACTTAGTATGGAGATGCTTACAATCACTTTTTGTCATGAGCAACTTGTAGATGTCGCTAAAATGGTTCTGTAAATTAGTTTCCGGGGGTTGGATTGTTTCTTCTCCAGGACAGGGATACAGGCGAGACCTGACCGACAATTCATTTGAAGTGGGACTGACTCATGCAGTACAGTACAATATTTACTCCTCGAAAAGACAGGTTTATGGTTATGGGAAGACGGTATATGGTATATGACTCTTGATGACACTCCAAGTGCGGAAATTTCTTTCAGATATCCATCATTCCCTCTCATATGAAATACCAACTGATTATGATCGACTTTCAACCCCGGGAAATGAGCATTACTGTACGAAGAAAGATACACATGCATACACAGTACAGTATATAGACAACTCACAGAAACGGAAAGACCCCCGTGCGGCATGTTGAGCCCCGGGATCAAGCCCAGGGGACTGGAGGGTTGGAACCCATCGCGGCCCTGCGGAGTCAGGATGCCCTGCGAGTACCGCATGCGTCTGTAAGCAGCTTCGGTGTCCAGTCGCTCGTGTTTCCGCTTGTGCGAATACAATTGGCCGGAAGAATGGAGCACGTAGTTGCAGCCCTGGCGCACGCAGTGGATGTGGTTGCTCAGCTTGTTGAAGCGACACGTGTCGTAGCTGCAGTCCTCGTTCTTCATGAACTTCTTGAACCCGTCCTTGGCCAATTGCTCGTCTTTGATGTGATACGTCTTGTGTTTTTCTGCAACGCAAAATAATAATAATAATAATTAAAACAATGAATTCAGAGAGCTGCTGCCAGGGCAGCAGAATTCTCGGGACTCGGCCAACAATGCGCGACATATGCATCCCCGAATGACTCCTTTCGTCTTTATTTTGTTTTCTCTCACACAGATATTTTTCATACCGAGGAGGTATGTTGTTAAAGGGTAGGTTTTCCTCGTTGAGGTGCATACAAAAATTCGAACAGGGTGATATTTTTTTTCTGATTTAGCAAGCATTTTACGACCGAGAGGGCAACGAAATTTCCATCGGTGATTCCGCGGCCATATCGTGTACCCGAAAGTGTCACTATATATAAATGACAGCATAACATCTTATCAAAGCTTACGTCATACTTTCCGTCTTCTCGGCAAAATTTGAAGAAGCAATTAGCAGACGTCATGAAAATCTAAAGGCTACAAATAATCCTGTACTGTTCGGCGTTTTAGCCACAATCTTAAAATTTTATTGACATATGATTGTGGCATGTTTTTAGGAATGAACACACAAATCGATACGAATGATGAAGCTTTCCGATAAAATTTCACAAAAATGGTCAACGTTATTCAATTTTGATCAGCAACAATCAACAGCCCGAAAGACGAGCAAAGAATCGACAGACTGCAGCTAAATATTTTTTTTCTTCGAGAAAAGCAGCTTATACATTCTATGAATGGTCTAGTCCTGAATGAACAGAGCTGGTACAGTAATATACGCGATCTTGTGCAGTCATTTTGAATATAATGCCGCAATTAATCCTGATTGAACGTAACGGAATAATTCCTTCCATCGGGGAAATTCGGCAAGACGCATGAATTGCATTCCCTTCGAACCCCCTTTTTTGCTGGTCTTTCAGAACGCTCTTCATAATTTAAAACGATCTCTTCAACTTCATATCTCGCAGCACCAACATTTTGCGTGATCGAAATTTGCGTCAGCCAGAGACAAGCTAATCACTCCAGGATTCCTTCACAAAATGGTCGCTCGCGCGGGCCGCAGCCACACAGAGCCCAGCACAGCACCTGTGTTCAGCTCAGTCATAAAGAATCCCGGACAGACGGAATTCCAACTGCATATAAACGGTACAAGAGAAACGGGAAAACAAAAGGCATGTCCAAAAGAAGCCTCCCCCCCCCCTCCCCCCCCACTTTTTTCGAACGAAGGAGGACTTGAAAAACGGTTCTTAATTCGCTATGAGCCCTCATAACTCGCTCGCCTTGGTCCATCAATCCCGTCCCAACGTTCCACAAGGCTCCTTCCTCGTAGGCGGGCGGAAGGAGATTTAGGGGCCGGAACGCGCGGAGACTCTCGAGTACAGTATAACAACCCGGACTTTGCCGAATGACTTGCGGAGAGATTGCGCTTCATTCGTGAAACATTGCCCCCGACGACGAGCATTTGGCGATTTGACATGCCGAATGAACTGCGGCATGCTGCAGCTGGATTTGAGACACGCACTTGGCAGGCATTGAGATCGCCGAGAGACAGACATTTTGGATGTCAAATGGTTTCACTCATTTCACAGACGAACAACGAGTGCATGACGAGAGATCATCGTAAAACATTGCCCCCGACGATAATTTGGCAATTTTATGCCGAATGAATTGCTTCAGCTGAATTTGAGACACGTTCAATAATAGACTTGAGATGGCTTGATTTCATTTACTGAATTAAAAAAGCAATGAACACAGATTGGCGATTTGAGATACATTGCCCTCGACGATAATTTTAAAATTTAATTCGAATGGACTGCGACGACTGAATTTGAGACACTCGGTAGACATGGAGAGAAATTTCGGATGAAACTGGGAGGGCTTGACTTCATTTACCGAATTTAGAAAAAAATGAACGAGGAGTGAAGAGATTACGATTTAAAAAAGATTGCCCTCGAGGATAATTCGGCTAATTTATTCCGAACGATCTGCGACTGCTGGATTTGGGACACTTGGCAGACAATGAGAAGAATTTAGAAAGAACTTGAAATATGATTTACATTTATTTAATATGAAAACAAATGAGAAACGAGATTTTAATTTGTGAAACATTGCTTCAACCGATAATTAAGCAAATTATTCTGAATCATTATGACAGCTGATTTCGGGACACTTGGCAACAAATAAATGGTAATCACGATGAATATGAAAAAGTTAAGAAGGCATTGATTTCATTCATTTCCGAAACGTTGAACACGCAGATTTATGTCGATTTGAAAAAATCTAGCCTCGAATATACGATGGTTTGACAAGAAATCCTGAAGGGCTAAGATGGCTGAAATTCTCTACTTCCTGGAATAAAACCAAGTGATTGTGCAAGTCTCAATCAATTTACGACCCCAACAACTTTTAATTTTTCATTTTATTTCCACTTGTAACATATTTGTGGAAAGCTTCTCATGATGATGATAAAATTCATCGATGAGCTTTCAAAACTCTTTCGATTTAGATTCAGAGCATCAATGAAACCCCGTCATATATATTTTTAAATTATGGTATTATCCCCACGTACGAGGCACAAAATAACATGGTGCATTTTTGAATCTATACCGTCTTGTACGAAGTATACAGTCCCAGTATTTTCCTGAAGATAATTTTTGCACTTTTTGAGGCGAGGGAAAAAAAAGCGTGCGTCTTTGAACCAATGGCGCCCAGCAGTGATGTACAGGGTGTAACATTTTCAGCCACGATCGGATCTCCGCCCGAACTTATGGAAGTTCACTCCTGTTCAGGACGGACTCTTTCACCGAAACGTTTCGAAAATATGGAGCCCATTTCTACAGGCCCTTGTTCCTTTCTTAATTTTTTTCCCCCCACGTTTGACCACCGCAAGAAAGAGGGTCAGCACACCGGCAACAATATCGATAAATTCGGAGCATGGGCGCGGTTCGGACCCGTTTTCCTGCTGTTTTTCTCACGAGCTTTTTTCCGAATCAGACACTTTAACGCGTAGGTGAGACCCAATGTCGGCAAAGGCTTGAAAAAATATACGGCACTCACACACACACACAAAATAACACGCAGTAAAGCAAGCGATCAACAAAGCGTAATTACTGTTCCAAAAATATAATCTCGCCGTTCGAAGCTCTTTGCCAGCAGAGCTCAATCATCAAAAAAAACAAAACAACAACAACAATAAAGGCCGAGGAGAAAACGGTTTGCGAAATTAATAAATAAATCATCCCCCGCGATCAAAACTTCGCAATGCTGTGAAACTGGTTGGGAGCTTGTCTCGAAGCCAGAGGCATGTTGATGAGCCTCACAACTGCAACAGCATGCAAACTACAGTATTTCTCGAGAGCAATTTTGTATTCAAAGCATTCCGCGAATTACAGTGCGCGGCCTCGATATAGTACTATAATGGCATTCTCCCCAAGATGGCGGAAAAAGGGGGGGGGGGAAGGAAAGATACACGGGGTCCTGGCAAGATAATTTCCGAACCCATAAGAAGGCGAGGAAAAAAAGGTGTACATGAATCAGGTACCTCCCCTCTCTCGGTCATCTGACACTCGGTGCGGAGGTTGTCGGGTAAATTGCGCACTTGATGCTCGGACCATAGGAAAGTACTTTCTGGGTTTTACGAAAAAGTAAAAAAAAAGTCGTCGATACATATATTACGTGTAAGCCAGCTATAGTTGTTGAGGATTGTAATGAAATGAAGTACGGCCCATTTCCTATAGCGTATACACAGTACAGTATGTACCGTAGATCTACAGAGTTCCCTTATAAAAGTTAGACGTCCTCTACTCGTCAAACAAAACAAAAAATCATATCTTGTGATACAGTAGTAAGTGCCCAATTTTTAAACTGATGGACGATCCCTCACGCGTGTATATACTCGATCGTATTTATTGAAAATAAAATCTCATTGTAACTGTATTTTCATAAACGTCGAGTTGACCTAACAAATTAGGATTTCTAAGATTTTATTTTTTTTTAAGTCGCGAGAGACGCTCATAATGCATATTTTTTTGCGTTTAAAGTAGGGATGAAAAATTACGGGTTGATAAAGCTGTATTCCCGATTGGTTGTAATGCTTAAAGAAGCCTCATTATTTTTGCACAATAGCTGCCGAGTCTCAAAACGCGTGGATCATCCATCATTTGATTATAAAATGTACCTATTAAATTATCGAACAGTTTTCGTCAATTTCCAATATCTCTAACTTATTGAAGTTGTTTGACTTTACTCAGAGTCAGCCCGAGGGATTGTTTTTGCGGCATAACATTTCTATTGTAAATGTTATTATCGTTAAAAAAAACAGTATAGCTGAGCCTCGTTTCTAACTGCCAAAGTGATGTCAAAGCCTCAAAACTACTTGCGGCATAACATTTATATGGTAAATGTTATTACATTTATATTGTAAATGTTATTATCGTTAAAAAAAAAAGTATAGCTGAGCCTCGTTCCTAACGGTCAAAGTGATGCCAAAGTCTCAAACTTGCGTCTTCATGTATTCGCGTGCCTATGTAACAAATGCAAGGTATTTATAACTGAATATTCCTCAACCTCAAAAATCAACTGCAGAATATTCATAAGTTGCTTCAATCGACCGTATAGGAATCACGACTCACTGTAATACAGTTATGCTTACGTACATTAAATTTTCCAATGCACTGCTGTACCTCTTTAACAACAAAAAACGTAAAAATGTGGTATAACCGCGTTGATTCCCAAAGGGTTGGAGCATTTAGCCATGCCTCATTCTCTCTGCCTGCCTGACAGCAGAACGCACACACACAAAATAAGGGACAACCTGAGACGTGGCCTCTCGACTGCAGCGCGATTTGGCGAAGATACGGCCCAGCAAAAATAACAAATAAAAATCATAGGAATGAGCGAACACAAAAAAATAAAACAAAGTAGCACAAACGGAATAGAAGGAAAAAAAGTTGGCCCCGCGGCGGGTCCGCGCACAACGCTCGCGTCAGACGCGTCATTACGTCTTGAATGATGGAAGAATTATGCCGGGGTTCCTGTCCGGGCTACTGGCTTGCCCGCAGACATCCCGAATTCAGCAACAAATCGGCTCACGCCGCAAGTACCGCGATAATTGATTGCCGCTGTTTTCCTCCACTATTCACGTCAAGACGACGAGAATATAAGCGAGAGCCCGACAAAAATAAAAATAAAAAATATAAGACACTTTGAAAGATCGGGGTCGGCGAGAAATCCTGTTTCGGACGCAACAATAAGAGCCTTCGTCCCCCGTCATCATCACCCTTCAAAAAAATATTTTTTTTTTAATAAAGAAAACTACTCTTTCATGGAGGATATGGTCGGATGCTGGATCCCCAGTATAGCCTGTATATTGATGGATCGGATACCTCAGCAAAGTATCCCGAACCCTTTGAATACCCGAGATTACTGCGTACCAATATGATCCCCAATTTCTCAATCCCATCAGGGCCGTTAACCCGGGTATTTATATCAGCCGGCTTCTCAGCAGCCCGCAGGCCAAATCGTTTTTCAATCGTCGATCGGAATACCTCCTCTTTCCGACCTCTCCATCTCTTCAATTTACTCTCATCATCACGATGTAAATTTTCAAACTTACAAAGAAATAAAAAAAGGGAAAACGCGTCATCAGTAACATAAAAAGAAACCCCGCCGCCTCGACACATGCTGTACACTCATTGTGTACTTCCGTAGGCAAAAACGATTGTTTTGCAAACCTTCTTCACCGAACATCTGACATCTCGCCTTTACAAGAAGTACATCAAGTGCACAATTATACTAATGCAAAGAAGCTCGGGGGAAGTGCTCCGCATTGTAATGAACACTTCGTTTCGGTCATGGTCGAGCTCACGTTCGAATCTTTTTTCCCCCGTCATTTTATCCTTTTTTATTTATTTTTGAATAGCAGAGAAACGAA